AGGATTCTGCCTTGTATGAAGCTTTGCATGAGGTAGGAACTGCAAGAAAAGCTGGAGCATTTGGAAAATGTTGATCTTTCCCTTAAGGTCAACAAGTCATTTAATCTTTAATGAAACCAGGTCATTTAAGCTCTAAAAGAACTTTCCAGCCATAGCAGATGATATAGATGTTCACTCTTCCTGATTAAAGAAAACTTCATTCACATTTACTGAACTAAATTATTGTGTGTATAAAAATTATTATTATGATTTGATTTAGATAAACCTTTGAGTTCTATTATTGTAATTAAGAAAGTCATTTAGCCCTGACTGTAGGAACAAGGCATAAATCCCTGAGATATGTGGTGGAGGAATCAATAATCTGGATAAATTATCCAGTAGAGTCCCCTGACCTCTGCCTGAGCCAGGCAGAAGATGGAGTAATACTAACACTGCTCTGTTCAGCCCTTGTGCAAGACGCTTTCTAATCAAAACTCTTGATAACCCTCATTTGTATAGAAGATGGCTGGTCCCTGCCATTCAGGACTTCAGTCTCACCTCCACTTCTCCCAAAAGTATAAATTTGGCATTTGAAATCCTCCATGGCAGAGGATGACAATATGACTCCACTCTGTAGATGGGTCAATGGGATTGCTTCATTCTCTGCCCCAAAAGCAGGGATGCCTCTTTGGTAAGATTTGCTCCTCCAGCTATGTCACATTGTGCCCTGGGGAAGTTGGGTTTTTAGGTTTAACTGCTGGTAAAGCTTAATGAATTATCAATTGTTTTTCTTTTTTTTTTTTTAAATATATTTAGTGCTAATCCAGTAACTGCATTTATCAATGGCAATTCCAAACTTGTATTTCTGCAATAAAATGCACTATTTCTGAATCTGTGATCATGGAAGTTCTTACTGAATGTGATGAGATTTACAGTGCTGAAGGCTATACTCAGAAATTAAGCTCAGCCACACCCAGGGCCTTTGATCTCTGAGGACCAGAAGAATGCAAGGGAGTTTATCTTCTCCCAAACTCTTATGCTCTTAATGTAATAGAAAAATATGCAAAACTGATACATGGGCTGGATGCAAAAGGGCAATAATGACACTGCAAACCTGCCACAAATGCTTTGGCATTTGCTGATTGAAATGACTGAACTAAACAACAGGTTTACCTCTGTTTTAGTTTACATTTCTTGCTGCTGTGGCCCTGTTCTAGTGTAATGTGATGAGCTGTATCACTGTCTGGCAGTGGTTGATAACTGATGTGTGAACACGTTGATCCCTGTCACTCTCCATGGGTGGTCACTGACATACAAACAGTGATGCAGGAAGGGCCGTGGGGGGCACAGGTGGGTGCAGAGCCCACTGCCCACACCAGCCCTGAGTGTCCTCTCTGCCCCACTTCCTGCCAGAACAGGATTGCCCTGCTCTGTGTGACTGCTCTCCTGCTCTGCTTTTACTTGTAGATGATATTGACTCTTTTGAGTGGAGTCTGGCTCAGGAAAACACCTGGGAAAGTGGGTTTTGTGCTGGATCAGGGGAGCAGTGAGAGGAGGAAGGAGTGAGGGAGAAAACTCATTATGAACTGACTGCAACCCCCATTCTGCTTTCCCTTGTGCTGCTGTGGGGGAGGAGGTGGAAAAGCTGGAAATGAAAGAGTGAAGTTGAGCCTGGGTTGAATGGGGGGTGGACACAAGGGTTCTAGTTTTGGGTTTGTTCCTCATCATCCTACTCTATTTTCAATAGGCAATAAATTGAATTCATTTTCCCCAAGTCAAGTCAATTTTCTCCATGACAATAATTGGTGAGTGATCTCCCTGCCTTTATCTCGACCCATGAGCTTTTCCATCCTATTTTTCAGCCCTGCCCTGTGTATGGGTGAGTTTGAAGGAGGAGCTGGGTGTGGGGCTGGCAGCTGCCCAAGGTCCAACCTCCACAGCAGGTGCTCTAAACATGACATAGTTCCAGCATGAACTGAGCAGAACCTGAATTGGTCATTCCTCTCACCAGCTCAGGTCCTGAGGTAGATCTTAAAAATCACATCGAGACACATCTCCCCACTGAAAGGACTTGAAGGACAGGCACCAACACACCTCCCTTCTCTCCCTCATGTTGCTTGTGCACTTCCTTCTTTAACAGGACAGTCCCAATTGATTTCACAAGAAGACCCTGGAAGACCCATCTGATTCCCTACATCCCATGCAATATCATCCCTCACAACCTCACATCCCACAACACGCAGCAGGCAAACCCAGCATCTTGCCAATGGCAGCACCACACAAAACAAGGCAGCCCCAGCAAACCACACTGCAGATACCTTCTGCCATCTCCATGAAAGCCCTGAGACCATCACACCCAGCACAGCATCACTGCCCTGTGCACCAGCCCCACTCAGCTGCACCTTCAGTGGACACGTTATCCACCAGCACAGCCACAGTGCACAGCCCACATGGAGAGATGCACTGATGGGCCCAGCCTGGGGAAGCTGACCCAGAAGAGATGTCACAGCTCAATGGGAGGGGCTGCCCAGTGCTGGCAGGGTATGGAAAACACCTTTGGGTCACATTCCAGGTTTTCAGGGTTGAGAAGTGAAACAGTTAGAAATGCTTTTGCCATGCAAGAGTGTTGATGAGCAGACGGACAGTTCGGGAGTGACATTAATAAAACAAAACTCAATAGTGAATGAAATAAAAGCCGTCTGGAGAGTTGGACAAAATCTGCCTGTACCTAATGCAATTTATACAGGGCTACTTCTCAGGCTGGAAGGGACCTTAAATATCAGCTGGTTCCAAACCCATCGACATGGTGGGATAGAAGAGTCAGGAAATTTCCCTCCTTAGCAGCTGTTTCTCAGAGCATTCCTCTCCAGTTCTTCATGACATCAGCATACTTCTGTGAACACAGTAATCCAAATCTACACTCTCGATGATGTAGTTTAGATCAGCACCACATACCAGTAAGAAAATGTCACTCTGACAAGGATTTGCTCACAGAATCACAGAATAACAGAATATTTTGAGTTGGAAAGGACCAACAAGGATCATCGAGTCCAGCTCCCGGCCCTGCACAGGACCATCCCCAAGAGTCACAGGATGTGCCTGGGAGTATCATCCAAATGCTTCTTTAACTCTGTAGGGCTTGGTGCTGTGAACACTTCCCTGGGGAGCCTGTTCAGTGCCCAACCACCCTCTGGCTAAAAAAACCTTCTTCTAATGTCCAACCTAAACCTTCCCTGACACAACTTCAGGCCATTCCCTCAGGTCCTGTCACTTGTCCCCACAGAGAAGACACCAGTGCCTACTCCCCCTTGTCCTCCTCTCACAAGGAAGTTGTAACTGCAGTGAGGTCTCCCATCAGTCTTTCCTCCAGCTGAACAGACCAAGTGACCTCTGCCACTCCTCTTAAGGCTTCCCCTTAAGGCCCTTCACCATCTTCATGGACATTCTCTAATGGCTTAATATCTATCAGTGTCATGGTTTGAGATAGCCCCAAAATCCAATTCCCTAGCTCCATTCTTCCTCCCACATCTCAACCCAATGTGAGATGGGTTTTTCCAGACAAAACACAACCAGACTCAGAATGGGGAAAGGGAATATATTACAATGACTGTACAAATAAATACTATAACACATTATACACACGATCACAACTATCTCTACCATGACATATAGTATTTACAATGGATCAGATCTCCTCTCCCCTCCAAATAAAAGTCCAGGAGGGAAAGAAGGACAGATCCCTTCCAGTCTCTCAGGGCAGCAGCTTCTTCAGAGTAGCAGAAGCAGTCTATCTCTCTCTCTCATGCATGCAGCAGCTGATAGCTGGATCTCTGCCAGCACTCACGAGGGAGATATCCAAGCTCCCTCGGCCCCGTCGCCAACCAACTGAGGGGTCTTCCGTGGGCTTCGTAACCCCAGACAAAGGTCGTTCCACCACGATCATATCACGAAGACGCAGGGGGTCTTCGTGACGGTCTGGTATCTCCAGGAGATTCAAGCTCCTTGCAGGGCCTCTGTGCCCTGCCTCAGGCTGCCACCTTGGCAGCAGTGCGAGGGGGGAGCCAAGGTCAGCCCCTCTGCATTCCTCTCCGTCCTGGTCCAGCTTCCCAGGACGCTCTGAGCTTCTCAACTCTTCTCTCTCTCTCTCTCTGGTGCTGCATGTCTCTGTTGCTCCATTTTATCTCTTCTGGCTCTCTGCCACCGCTTTTTCGGTCAGTGCCGGCTGCTGCTCTTCTCTGGCCGCTGCCCAGTTTGGAGAAAACATCTCCCAGCTCACAGCTACAGACACATAGTCCAGTTTAACACTGTTCCAAGTCTCTGTAGCCCCCAACTGGGGCTGGGGGGCTGCAGAGGCCCCAAGGGGCTCCGGGTCCCTTTTCCTCGTGGCTCCTACAACATGGCCACTTCACCTACAACCAAAACTACACCTCGTCACTTCTGGTGCTGGTTGTGGTATGTTTACATTTCTGCAGGAGCGTCCATTGGACAGGACTTCAAAACTTCCAGGGGTTTCCACCCCTTGGGGGTTACCACTTTTCTTAGTCTCTGGGGGAAAACAAGGTTCAAACCACTACAATTAGATATTGTGGTGCCCAAAACTGCCCCAATATTGCAGGTGAGACACTTTATCCCCACTCTGTGGGAGCCCTATCGGTGAGCAAGGGAGAGAAGAATCCAGTCTTGAAATCCAACAGGGATCAAAAAAGGGTCAGTCAGAGAAGCAGAACACTGTTGTCTAAACAAAAACATCTCCACTCTTTGTGCCACCCAACACAGCCCTCCTGAACCAACATGCAAATCCTGCACACTGACACTGACACCAGGTAAGGGGATACCCAGCACATTTACATCCCTGCACCTGCCCTGCTCTCAAGACAGCGGCACCAAAATCCCCCCCACCAGCAGCTCTATAAAGCTCCTCTTTCCACACCTGACACTCAGGCAACAGCAGACGCTGACCTGTGTTTGGCATTGGTGCAACAGCCCCCTTGTCCAGCACAGCACTGCTCTCAGCTCTCAGGATGGAAGCTTGTCTCTCTCCAGAGCAATTCAATGTCACTGCATACGCTGCCACGGCTGTGACCATTGTCACCTTTGAGGCATTTGCTGGCATGTGGATAAATGCTTTCATTGTTTCTGTGATTTGCATGGCTTGGGTCAAGAAGAAAACCTTGAACTCTAATGAGAAGATCTTGCTGTTACTGGGATCCTCCCGGTTTTGGTTTTTGTGCATCTCATGGGTATATTTCTTTCTTTCAATAATTTATCCCAATTTCCTTTATGTTCACCCCACACTTCAACTAGTTGTATCTCTTCAAAGCTTGTTAAATTATTCCAACATATGGGTTTCAGCCTGTCTTTGTGTTTTTTATTGTATAAAAATTGCCAATTTCAGGAACAGCTTCTTCATCTACCTGAAAGTAAAAATTGACAGGATGGTGCCCTGGCTCTTGTTGGGGTCTGTGCTTTTGTCCCTGGTTATTGGAACCATTATCTACTATGTCATTGATAAAGCTTTCTGTAAAAACCTCAATTTCAGTTGCCAAGGATGTATTTGGAAAGCAAGTATCAGAATAGAAGAGCATTTTTTCCCCATTTATTTTATCACTGGCTTTGGATTTGTCACTTCATTCATGGCAGTCACCTTTTCTGCCCTTCTCCTTCTCTTTTCTCTATGGAGACACAAACGCAACATGCAGACAAACTCCACGAAGGACCTCAGCATGGATACCCACATCAAAGCCATGAAATCTATTATCTCCTTTTTAGTAATGTACAGCATCAACTTTGCATCTTTGATCTTGACACTGATTTATGCAATTAGCAGCCAAAATCACACAGATTTCCTTATTTCTGTATTTCTGTATGCTTTTCCAGGTTTTCATTCCATTATTTTGATTTTCAGCAATCCCAAATTGGAAAAGACATTGCTAAGGATTGTGCCCTGTGTGAATGCAAGGTTTGCATGAAGTAGGAACTGTTGGAAGAGTCATTAAATCTCTTACGCAAACTCTCCATGTTGTCTGGAAGGGAAAGATATTATCTCTTTATCACTGAAGTTAAGAGTATAACATTCAAATACTTTGACTGAAATTAGAATGAGCAAAAGAAATTTTTATTATCCTTAAACTTAGGTATTTTTTTGACCAAAGCTCTTGTCAATAATAAAGTCTTTTAGACCTTATACATGTGATTTGGTTGCAAAAGGACAATAAAAATATGCAAATGGTGAGGCACTCGCTGATTGAAACAACTGAACTACACCACAGGTTCATCTCTATTTTGGTTAACAGTTCTTTCTTCTCTGGCTCCCTTCTTTGTAACATTATCAGCTGTATCACTGTCTGTCTGACAGTGCAGGTGGGGTGAGTGCACCTTGAAGGACTGCAGCCTAAGGAGACCCCACACTGGAGCTGGCTTATCCTGAAGGACTGTAGCCCAGGAGTGGGATCCACACTTGAGCAGGGGAAGAGTGTGAGGAGGAAGGAGTGGAGGAGAAAACTCGTTATGAACTGATTACAATCCTCATTCCCTGTCCCCCTGTGCTGCTGAAGAAATGGCGGTGGAGAAGCCAGGAATGCAGGAGTGAATTTTGGATGTGAAGAATAAGAAGAATGGGGGAAGGGAAGGGGTTCAAGATTTGTGCTTCTTCCTCCTCACCCCACTCTGTCTTCTGTAGGCAATAAAGTCAATTCATTTTCCCCAATTCAAGTCTGTTTTCTCCATGACAGTAACTGGTGAGTGATTTCCCTGTCCTTATCTCGACCCGTGAGCTTTTCCATCTTCTTTTCCACTCCTGCCCTGTTGTGGAAAAAGAGAGAAGGAGCAGCTGGCTGGGGACCTGGCAGGTGCCCAACCACTGGTATCAGCCAACCACTGCTGTCCTCTAAATGTGACACAATTCCAACACAAGAAGAGCAGAACATGATTTGTTCATTTCTGTCATCATCTCAGGCACAGAGTAACATCTTAGCTCACAGCAGCTGCCAAGGATGTGTTTTTCATGCTTTTTGGCAGGTTTTGCTTTGGCTCTTGCTCTCCCAGAAGGAGAACATGTGCCAGGTGTGCAGTCCAAACATCAGAGTTCTCCTGATGTGGCAATGGATTTGCCATATGTAGGATGGAAGAAGTCCCGTCAGAGATGGACTAGTGAAGAAAAAGAAAACAGCTCAAATGTTATAGAAGCATAAGTTTTTAATGTGGTTTAAACAGGTTTCAAAATGGCTTTTGCTTTTTTGCAAAGTCATTGCCCCTTCTTCCCGACACCCCCTGTGAGGGACTTGTCTCCCATACAGTGTCCTGGGAAGGTGTCCTGAGGTGTTTCTTATTGGTCCTTGTTAACCCCTTCCTATTGGCTGTTGACCCTTCACCTGATTGTTTTTTTCTATGTGACCCTGAACTTGTCATTGGTTCCCCTTTGACCCTCCTAAAAGCCTTATAAACCCCTACCCCGCAATAAACTTCCTCTTTCGTCCGTCCCTCCCTGGTGGTCTGTGTGAGCTCCTTACGGGGTCGCAGGCCACGAGATGGGGGGCAGGGGAGAAGGGCATTCACCCTCCAGGTTATGGGCTGGCACCCAAGAGCCTGGAGGTCTCCCCCGTCCCACTAATCCGTCGTATCCTGAAGCTTCTCAAATTTTCTTTTCCCCCAGTAAAGCAAATATGTCCTTCTTGTAGGACAACACTGCAAAGGACTCTCTAGATTCACTGCACTGTCTTTTAGAAAGTGACCCAGAGGAAGAGCTTCTGCTCAGGGAACATGAGTGGCCCTGGGATGCTAATTTGAAAAGTTGAAGTGAAGGTGAAAAACCTTGTCTTGTGAGCTTTCTCTTTGAAGAGTTTTCTTGCCATGGGCATTCCCTTCCCTCTGTCGTTCCATCCCCACAACAATGAAAGGGGAAGAATTTAATATTGAAGCGTAAGTGGTTTTTAATTGGATGGGGCTCTGAACAACCTGGGCTAGTGGGAGGTGTCCCTGTCCACAGTAGGGGGGTTGGAATGAGATGATCTTTAAGGTTTCATCCAGCTCAAAGCACTCAGTAGAAATTCAGTAGCAACCAAGGCTGATCATCTGGGATTCCCCTTGTCATAAAAGGAGAAAGAAAGGGCTGCTAGGGAGGGAAGAGGTTCAGCCTGAACCAAGCTCCAATGGAAGCAATTCAATCTGTGTGTGACATGATTCAGATCACAACAAAATCTGTGTCCATCCAGATGCATAAACGTGGGGGTGAGGTGCCATTTGAAATGCACAAAGGCATCCAAAATATTCACATGGACTTGTAGATGCAATTTCTAGGAGACTCCTTCCCCTTCTCAAGTTGTGCAGGAGGGGATGGATATGAAACAGCAGCAGATACCTGTGCTTCAAGCACCTGACCCACATCTTCCTGCTCTGAAACCCCAGCATGTGAGACTCTGTAGTGGTTTGAACCTTGTTTTCTCCCAGAGGCTGAAAAGTGGTAACCCCCAGGGGTGGAAACCCCTGGAAGTTTTGAAGTTCTGCCCAATGAGCGCTCCTGCAGAAATGTAAACATATCACAAGCACCGGAAGAGAAGAGTTGTAGTTTGGTTGGTAGAAGAAGAAGTAGCCATGTTGTGGTAGAGCCACGAGGAAAGGGGCCCGGAGCCCCTCGGGGCCTCTGGGGCCCCCCAGCCCCAGTTGGGGGCTACAGAGACAGAGCAGAAGCGGCGGCAGTGTCCAGAGACTCTGGATAAGAGCCAGGACAGATAAGAACTGAACCGGAGGAAGCAGCAGAAAGTAGCAGCAGACCTACGGAGTTCTGGGGGTAGGAACTGTACCAAACCCCTAAAACTCCTTTGAGACCTCCTGGAGAGGAGGAAGATGATGAACTCTTACTTGAAAGAGCCTTGAAGTGCAACATGCACTGCAGAGAAGAGCTGAGAAGCTCAGTCGTCCTGAGAGCTGAGTCAGGACGGTGTGGGAGGTTGGCCCTTGGGGGCCCTCCCTTGCTGCAAGCTACAAAGAAGCTCGCAGCCTGAAACAGGGCACAGAGGCCCTGCAAGGAGCTTGAATCTCCTGGAGATACCAGACCGTCACGAAGACCCCCTGCGTCTTCGTGATATGACGTGGTGAAACGGCCTTGTCTGGGGTAACGAAGCCCATGGAAGACCCCTTTGCCTGCGTCAAGGGGCCGAGGGGGATACCCCCCTCGTGAGTGCTGGTAGAGATCCAGCTATCAGCTGCTGCATGCATGGGATGAGGAGAACCTGCTGCCTTAGAAGAAGCTGCCGCCCTGAGAGACTGGAAAGGATCTGTCCTTCTTTCCCTCCTGGACTTTTATTTGGAGGGGAGAGGAGATCTGATCCATTGTAAATACTATATGTCATGGTAGAGATAGTTGTGATCGTGTGTGTAATGTGTTATAGTATTTATTTGTACAGTCATTGTAATATATTCCCTTTCCCCATTCTGAGTCTGGTTGTGTTTTGTCTGGAAAAACCCATCTCACATTAGGTTTGAGATGTGGGAGGGGGGATGGAGCTAGGGAATTGGATTTTGGGGCTATCTCAAACCATGACAGACTCTGATGTTATAACCTTATTTTAATAAGGTACCAAATGGCCCACACAGAGCTGAGCCCAAACTCCAGCCACAGTATGCTCCTTCTGGTGTAATATTTTCATATAAATGGGCCTTGCACAAGCACAGTCCCAGCACAGGCAGTTCATGTTCAGACAGGTTGTTATAGAAATAACTTCTGTTCTCTTCACATACATATGGACAGAAGAAGAAATAAAGAAGTAAACAAACCTCCCAACCCTGTACCGTATTTCATGTTCTATCAGTAAAAACAGAAGAAACTGACACCAAAGCATAAAGAAGAGAACAGGCAGCATCAGGAAATGAAAATTCTCCCAAGGCAATGCTCTGCCTAACATCAACACGAACAATTATCAAAAGAAATAATATTTTTGAATGGTTGCATGCAAAACTAACTTGCTCATTGTAGGTGGCCAAGGGACAAAAGAATCCAGATCCTGAAGCCAGACAAGGATCAAACAAGGATCACTTACAGAATCACAACACTGTCCACAGCACAAAAACATCTCCGCTCTTTGTGCCACCCAACACAGCCCTCCCGAACCAACATTCAAATCCTGCACACTGACACTGACACCAGGTAAGGGGATATCCAACACATTTACATCCCTGCACCTGCCCTGCTCTCAAGACAAGCGGCACCAAAATCCCCCCCACCAGCAGCTCTATAAAGCTTCTCTTTCCACACCTGACACTCAGGCAACAGCAGACACTGACCTGTGTTTGGCATTGGTGCAACAGCCCCCTTGTCCAGCACAGCACTGCTCCCAGTTCCCAGGATGGAAGTTTGTCGCTCTCCAGAGCAATCCAATGTCACTGCATACGGTGCCTCGGCTGTGGCTGTCATCACCTTTGAGGCATTTGCTGGCATGTGGATAAATGCTTTCATTGTTTCTGTGACTTGCATGTCCTGGGTCAAAAGGAAAACCTTGAACTCTAATGAGAAGATCTTGCTGTTTCTGGGATGCTCCCGGTTTTCGGTTTTGTGCTTCTCATGGGTATATTCCTTTTTTTCAATAATTTATCCCAATTACTTTTATGTTCCACCCACAAATACTCTAATTGTGTCTATTCAGAACTTTTTTGAGTGTTCCAATTTGTGGGTTTCAGCCTGTCTTTGTGTTTTTTATTGTATAAAAATTGCCAATTTCAGGAACAGCTTCTTCATCTACCTGAAAGTAAAAATTGACAGGATGGTGCCCTGGCTCTTGTTGGGGTCTGTGCTTTTCTCCCTGGTTATTGGAATCCTTGTCTATGATTTCGCTAATAAACCACACTGTAACAATTCCACCAGTGAGGGAAATTTTTCAAAAGTGAGTATCAGAATGGAGGAACATTTTTTGTCTATTTTTTTAATCTATGGCTTTGAGTTTGTCACTTCATTCACGGCAGTCATCTTGTCTGCCCTTCTCCTTCTCTTTTCTCTCTGGAGACACAAACGCAGCATGGAGACAATGATGAACCTCAGCATGGATGCCCACATCAAAGCCATGAAATTTATTCTCTCCTTCTTTGTAATGTACAGCATCAACTTCACATGTTTGATCTTGAATATGGTTTATACCACAGAGAATGGAAGTCCTGTGATATTTCTTATTTATGTACTTCTCTACACCTTTACTGTTGTTCATTCCCTTATTCTGATTTTCAGCAATCCTAAATTGGAAAAGTCAGTGCTAAGGATTCTGGCCTGTGTGAAGTGCAAGTTTTGCATGAGGTAGGAACTGTAGCAAAAGCTGGAGCCCTTGAAAAATGCTGATGTTTCATTATAGAAAACAAATCGTTTAATCTGTAATGCAATTTCCCAGGTAGTGTGGATGATACAGATGTTCTAGAAAACTTCATGAAAATTCTTTAAACCACGTGATTATGAGTTAAATCATTATCACTTCATTTAGAAAAACCTTTGAGCTAAATTATTGTCAATAACAAATTCATTTAGCTCTGGTCACATGGGTTGTATGTAAAAAGGCAATGACAATACTGCAAACCTTCCTCAAACGCTTTGGCATTTGCTGATTGAAATGACTGAACTGAACAACAGGTTTATCTCTATTTTGGTTTACATTTCTTTCTGCTGTGGCTCTGTTCCTTGTAATATTTCCAGTTGTATCAGTGCCTGTCAGTGTAGGTGGGTTAGATGTTCCCTGAAGGACTGCATCATATGGAGACCCCATGCTGGAACTGGCTTATGCGGAAGGACTGCAGCCCATGGGTGGGACCCACACTTGAGCAGAGGAAGAGCGGGAAGAAAAAGAAGTGGAGGAGACAACACGTTATGAACTGAGCACAACCCCCCTTCCCTGTCACACTCTGCCACTGAGGGGGAGGAGGTGGAGAGGTGGGAATGTGAGAGTGAATTTTGGCCTGTGATAAAGGAGGGGGGAAAGCGAGGGGTTCTAGTTTTGTGGGGTTTTTCTTATTATCCTACTCTATATTCAATTGGCAATAAATTTAATTTTCCCCAAGTCAAGTCTATTTTGCTTGTGACAGTAACTGGTGAGTGATCTCTCTGTCTTTATCTTGACCCATGAGTGTTTCTATCCTATCTTCCCTCCCTGCCCTGTTGTAGAGTGGGAGTGAAGGAGAGGCTGTGTGAAGGTCCGGCAGGTGTCCAAGTTTAACCACACACAGCAGGCCATGTAAATTTAAAATAGTTCCAGCATCCACAGAACAGAATCTGATTTGTTCATCTCTGTCACCAGTTCAGGCTCAGGGGGACATTTTACCTCACGCCAAGCGCCAGTTTTGCATTTCTCAAAATAACACCTTCAAACACGCTTCCTTCCTCTTCATGAAATGCGAGAAACAACCATTTAGGCCAGAGCAACCTCTCAAACACTGTAATATCTCCTTTCCCAAACACCACACAATCTCTCAGGCTGCCTCACCAACCAACCCATCTCTCTTTAAACAGCAACTGCCCAGAAACAAGTAAACTAATAACTAATGCCACTTTAAAAAAACGCTAGTCCTCCTTCTCTGTCTAAGGAGGATTTGGGGTTGAATTAAGATTTCCATATCAAGTTTATAATACCTGCCCAGAGGAGATTTTTATTCTGTTTCCTGAACCAATTGTGGCTTTCTGAGCATTAAAGTTTAGTTATGGATGCAATGGATTTCCCCAGTAGAAACTGCGGAACTAAGAGCCTAAGTAGTTAGTGAACTAACTAGTTAGGCTACTCATCTGGGATTTCCCATATAAAGGAGAAAGACAAGGATTGTGGAGAGGGAAGAGGTTCAGCCTGGACCAAGCTCAGATGGAAGCAATTCAGTCTGATGCAATTCTTCTGATGCGGAAACACATGGGTCTGGTGCTACGTGAGATGCAAAAAGGGCGTCCAAAAGTGGCTGGTAGATGAAAGACCGAGAGATTCTTTCCCCTTCTCAAGTGGTGCTGGGGAGCATGGATTTGAATTAAAAGCAGACATCTGTGTTTCAAGCGCCTGACCAACATCTTCCTGCTTTAAAAACCCAGCATTTGAGACTCTGATTTACATCCTTATTTTTTTAAAGGTGTGAGATTCTCCAGGTAGAACTGAACACAAACTCCAGTCCCGGTATGGTCCTTTTGGTGTAATATGTTCATTTAATTTCCCTGTACAAGCACAATCCCATCAGAGACACTTCAGACCTGTTGTAATACAAAAAACATCTATTCTTCTCATATCCATCTAGAGAGAAGAAGAAAGAAGGAAAACAGACAAGGAAAAAAGCCACCTACACCATTTATTGTGGTTTTTTCAGCAAAACAAGAGGAAATTCAGAGTAAAGGATAAAGAAGAGAACAGGAAATATCAGAAAACGAAAATTCTCTCAAGGCAATATGCTAGCATCCACCAGTATAAAAAACTATGAAAAGAAATAATATTTTAGAATGACTGCAGCCAAAACTAATTTGTTCATTGTAGTTGACCGAAGCACAGAAAAGCCCAGATCCTGAAGCCTCACAGGGATCAAACATGGGTCACCCACAAAATCACAACACTGTCCACAGCACAAAAACATCTCCACTCTTTGTGCCACCCAACACAGCCCTCCTGAACCAACATGCAAATCCTGCACACTGACACTGACACCAGGTAAGGGGGTACCCAGCACATTTACATCCCTGCACCTGCCCTGCTCTCAAGATGAGCGGTACCAAAATCCCCCCCACCAGCAGCTCTATAAAGCTCCTCTTTCCACACCTGACACTCAGGCAACAGCAGATGCTGACCTGTGTTTGGCATTGGTGCAACAGCCCCCTTGTCCAGCACAGCACTGCTCTCAGCTCTCAGGATGGAAACTTGTCACTCTCAAGAACAGTTCAATGTCACTTCATATGATGCCACAGCTGTGGCTATCGTGACCCTGGAGGCATTTGCTGGCATGTGGATAAATGCTTTCATTGTTTCTGTGACTTGCATGGCTTGGGTCAAGAAGAAAACCTTGAACTCTAATGAGAAGATCTTGCTGTTACTGGGATCCTCCCGGTTTTGGTATTTGTGCATCTCATGGGTATATTTCTTTCTTTCAATAATTTACCCCCATTTCCTTTATGTTCACCCCACACTTCAACTAGTTTCATCTATTCAGAGCTTTTTAAGTTATTCCAGTCTGTGGTTTTCAGCCTGTCTTTGTGTCTTTTATTGCATAAAAATTGCCAATTTCAGGAACAGTTTCTTCATCTACCTGAAAGTAAAAATTGACAGGACTGTGCCCTGGCTCTTGTTGGGGTCAGTGCTTTTCTCCCTGGTTATTGGCATCATTGCCTATGATATGGCTAATAAACCGCACTGTAACAACCGCAATTCCACTGGACGAGGTAATTTTTGGAAAGCAAGTATCAAAATGGATAAACATTTTTTCCCTTCTTTTTTTATTGCTGGCTTTGGATATGCTGTTTCATTCATTGCAGTCACCTTTTCTGCTCTTCTCCTTCTCTTTTCCCTCTGGAAACACAAACGCAACATGCAAACAAACTCCATGAAGGACCTCAGCATGGATACCCACATCAAAGCTATGAAATCTATTCTCTCCTTTTTTGTAATGTACAGCATCAACTTTGCATCTTTGATCTTGACACTGGTTTATGCCACGAGGAAGGGAAGTCCTGTGACATTTCTCATTTTAGTATTTCAATACGCTTTTCCGGGTGCTCATTCACTTATTCTGATTTTTGGCAATCCCAAACTGGAAAAGACATTGCTAAGAATTCTATCCTATGTGAAGTTCAAGGCTTGCATGAGGTAGGAACTGTAAAAAACTGCTGTAGCACTTGCAAAATGTCGATATTTCATTCTAGAAAGGGAGTAATTTAATCTCTAATGCAACTCTCCAGGCAATGCAGATGACACAGATGTTCAGTCTTCATCACTGAGATTAAGAAGATATCATTCAAATACTTTGAACTAAAATAGCGTGGCTTAAATAAAATATTTTCAATTATAATTTCATCTAGGTAATTCTTTGAGTTAAATTATTGCCAAGAAAAAAATCATTTAGACCTGGCACATGGACTCGTTACATAAGGGCAATAACAATACTGCAAACTTTCTTCAAACACTTTGGTATTTGTTGATTAAAAAAACCAAAATAACAACAGGTTTATCTCTGTTTTAGTTTACGTTAATTTCTGCTGTGGCCCTGTTCTAGTGTAACAAGATGAGCTATATCACTGTCTAGCAGTGGTTGATAACTGATGTGTGAACGTGTTGATCCCTATCACTCTCCATGGGTGGTCACTGACACACAAACAGTGATGCAGGAAGGGCCGTGGGAGGCACAGGTGGGTGCAGAGCCCACTGCCCACACCAGCCCTGAGTGTCCTCTCTGCCCCATTTCCTGCCAGAACAGGATTGCCCTGCTCTGTGTGACTGCTCTCCTGCTCTGCTTTTACTTGTAGGTGAGATTGACTTTTCCAAATGGACACTGGCCCAGTAAAATACCCAGGAAATAGGATTTGTGCTGGATCAGGGGAAGACCATGAGAAGGAAGGAGTGGAGAAGACAACACATTATGAACTGACTGCAACCCCCATTCTCCTTCCCCCTCTGCTGCTGACGGAGAGGAGGTGGAGAAGCCGGAAATGACAGAGTGGAGTTGAGTCGAGTCTGGGATGAAAAGGGGGTTGGAGACATCAGTTTCTGGTTTTGTGTTTGTTCCTCATCAACCTACTCTGTTTTCAATAAGGAATAAATTCAGTTCATTTTCCCCAATTCGAGCCTGTTCTGTCATGACAAAATAATAAATGAGTGAGTGTTCCCCCGCCTTTTTCTTGACCCATGAGCTCTTCCATGCCTGTCCTGTGTATGGGTGAGTTTGAAGGAGGAGCTGGGTGGGGGGCTGGCAGCTGCCCAAGGTCAACCCTCCACAGTAGGTCCTCTAAACATGACATAGTTCCAGCATGAACTGAGCAGAACCTGAATTGGTCATTCCTCTCACCAGCTCAGGTCCTGACGTAGATCTTAGAAATCTCATCTGGACACATCTCCCTACTAAAAGGCCTTGAAAGGACAGGCACCAACACACCTCCCTTCTCTCCCTCATGTTGCTTTTGCATTCATCGCATAACATGACTGTCCCAATTGATTTCACAAGAAGACCCTGGAAGACCCATCTGATTCCCTACATCCCATGCAACATCATCCCTCACAACCTCACATCCCACAACACGCAGCAGGCAAACCCAGCATCTTGCCAATGGCAGCACCACACAAAACAAGGCAGCCCCAGCAAACCACACTGTAGATACCTTCTGCCATCTCCATGAAAGCCCTGAGAACATGACACCCAGCACAGCATCACTGCCCTGTGCACCAGCCCCACTCAGCTGCACCTTCAGTGGACATGTTATCTACCAGCACAGCCACAGTGCACAGCCCACGTGGAGAGATGCACTGATGGGCCCAGCCCGGGGAAGCTGACCCAGAAGAGGGAGGGGCTGCCCAGTGTTGGCAGGGTATGGAAAACTGCTTTGGGTCACATTCCAAGTTTTCAGGATTGAGAAGCGAAACAGTTAAAAATGCTTTTGCTGTGCAAGAGTGTTGATGATCAAAGGCAGAGCTCAGGACCAGTTTCACGGCATTCCTAAAGGCAGAGATATAAAAATAGTTGGGAGTATTGCTGAAAATAAGGCAGTGTTCCAACACTCTTGGAAGTCACAGATCTCTGAAAGCAGTAACGAGGAGCACATTTTCCCTTTTGCTGGGATAGGAATGGGAGATTCAGGCTGTTGGACCCATGTGTCCAGTGAAAACTCAAAATCAACATCTCAACTTCAGCCAGAAGAAGCAACTACACCCCACGACTGAGAAAAGAGAGAGGCAACACCAGAGGTCACAGGCACCTGTAGTGCCTCCTGGTTAATGCAGGACCAGAAGCAAACAAGAAAAGACCATGGACATCAGCAGAGGAAGCAGAACCACAGTCCCAGATGCTTTTGTGATTCGGGTAGGACCAAAACCATTTCCCTCCCTCACAATATGAGTAACTGCTGGTCATCTCAATAACTTTAAACATTCCAGTGGTTTAGAGTATTGGTATATTTAAATATATTCTGCAGTTTTTTGATATTTGAAATCTGATACATAGAGACACACAGAAAGACAGAAGCACTTCTACCTCTTCCCTGTTAAGGACGTTATTTGCAGTATATCTCAAGGACACATCCTTGTGGGCATTTGCTTCCCCCATTCACGTGTATATCACCCTGCAGATTCACCTGAGATCTGCCAGTGCCTTTGCTCTGTATTTCACATGCTCAGAGGCACCAAACAGACAGGACAAACTACTGCTTCCCCTTTTTTTCCCCATTTTTCTTTGGAGCAGAGGTTGTGCAGTTCTCCCAAAAACATGGTGGGTTTCTCCCAAGCTCCTCTTTCTTGTGTTCCCAGTCTTCATCTCTCTGGTCTAAGGGGATTCCTTTCATTGCAGCTGTCATGCGGTAGTTTCTGCTCTCCACCTCTGCTCTGCGAGAGAAAACAAGAGTGAGCACAGCACAGTCACATCTCCAGGTTGTTCACGAGGCACCATCTCCAGGGTCCATCTCCAGGATTGTACCTCAGTCTGGTTAAACACCTGCTGCCAGTAACACTTGAGAAAACCCTGTGTTGTGCCCGGCATGGTGCAGCCCCAACCTCTCCTCACAGAGACCCCCCTGGACCCCACCACTGTCAGGATCTGGACATGGAAACTCCAAGTGTAATTCTTGTCCAAGAGAAGGCAAACCCTTTCCTCCTACTGCAGAGCTCTGATTTTGTAGGCACTCAGGATTTATGCAGCTCTATCAGAAACATATCATCAAGTATCAGGAAAAAAAAACTTTTTTCTATGAAAGAACAGCTCTGTCACATCAGTGCAATGCTGTCCCAACTGAGAGCAGGAAGCAAAGCCAGTGCCTTCACACTGATGAGCTTCATCACATAAGCTTACTACGTCAGAGAATGATAGAATGGTTTGGGTTGGAAGGGACCTTAAAGATCATCTCGTTCCAACCCCCTGCCATGGGCAGGGACACCTTTCACTAGATCAGGTTGTTCCAAGCCCCATCCAACCTGGTCTTGAACACTTTCAGAGAACAGCTTCTCTGGGCAACCTGTGCCAGGGCCTTTACCACCCTCACAGTGAAGAATTTCTTCCTAGTATCTAATCCAACCCTACTTACCTAGGCCATTCCCCCTTGTCCTCTAACTCTATGCCCTTGTCAAAAGTCCCTCTCCAGCTCTCTTGTAGGCTCTCTTCAGGTACTGAAAGGTGATCTAAGGTCTCCACAGAGTCTGTGTTTGAGAGAGATTGTTGAGGCTCCAAGCCTGCTGGTGTTTGAGAGGCATTTGGAAAATGCCCCTAATAACATGCTTTAACTTTTGGTGAGCACTGAAGTGGTCAGGCCATAGAACCAAATGATTGTGGCAGGCCCCTTTGAACTGAACTATCTTTATTTTCTTCTATTAACTATCTGCTACCAAGGGCAAGAAACATCTTTCTGTAGACTTCTAAATGTATGTACCTATACACACGTGAGTATAAACATATGCTTTGGGCTCAGATAGAAGGAGCCTTTGGTGCAAGTTCAACACTTGGCACTTTGTAGAGAGGCTGGCAGCAGGCACAGGCTGTGGGTGTCTGTGCCAGCTCGGCACCATCCTTGGCAGCTCTCACAGCAACCAGGGTAAAGCCCTTTTCATGCAAAACAAATCTGATGCAAAATATGTGTTTGTTATTCAGAAGTAGCTGTTTCGAAGGCTGTTTCCTAACCTTTGCATGTCCATGCAAACCTCAGTGAGTCGTACGGATACTTGGTAGCAAAATATTCCCAATATTTGCATGTTAATAATATTTCCATGTTGATACATGTAATATTTCCATGTGGATGCAAAGAGTCCTCAGTACAGAACAGTGGCCCAGCCTGGGCAGGCAGGCAGTTCATGCAGCTGGCAACACCTGGGGACAGATACACAGTGTTCAAGGGTCAATGTAGTGCTAGATGGGGCTGAATTAGGATTTAGGAAGGATTTGGATATTCATAGCCCTGTTTAGATATGTTCATCAGCCCTGCATTTGGCAGACCCTCAGATTTAAAAATAGAAAACCTGCCTTTTCTCTCTTTTTGTACGACAAGCAAATACCCAAAACTGACAAAATATTCCTCATATTTATATACCACAGACACCATGAGTGGAGTGCCGACCTGCTCTGTGCTGTGCAGCATTATGTGCAGGCACACACTTAATTCTGTGTCTGCAGCACACGTTGGTACTTCCCAGCTGCTGACACTGCCTGACCACCTCTGGGACCTTCTGCACATCTAAAGGAGCAGAAGGTAATCAAAATTATACTATAAATGCCAGCCATTCCAGCTCCAAGGTTGCTGGTATGAGGAGGTGAAGCCATTGCAATTGTAAGTTACAGAGGTTGGGCTTAAAAAAAGTGTTTCTGAGTAACAGTGATAAACTCTCGGCTGCCCACAGGCTGTGTTATGGTTGTGAGGTGACTGCACAAGCTTTGTGTGCCTTATAAAATGTCCTAGGCATGGGCATTCAAAGCATCTTCCCAGTTAAGTTCTCCCAGCCATGCTCCTAGATGAGCCATGCTGCTGTGGGGTGAGTCAGGCCAGCATATGGCTCTGAAAGGCACGTTTTCCAGCTTAAATCAGTCATTCACCTCAGAAAACCCTTCATCACCTACCTGAGTTGCCCTAGGCTGTTGCTAAGGTGTCTCAGACCAGGATGTAAATCATCCTGTCAATCAGCTTGTCAGTCATTCTCCCAGGAGCCACTGCCTGCCGTGGGCATCGCCCGTTGGCATCATCCAGGCAATTCCCCTGCCCTTGCTGTCACCTCACTGCCAGGGCCCTCGTGCACAGCCAAGTGCACAGCAAATGCTACAGATTGGACAGGAATTACTGGTGAGGTTAATGCAAAAAGGACAGCATTGAATAGGTTAAGTAATTGCTATAAATGATTCGTCAAGGGAGAGAAGCCTGCAGACTTTCACTCTCAAGGTTAGACAACATTTACCTGTGCTGGTAGAGAAACTAAGCATACGAAGAGCTGAGAACAGTATAAAGAGAAACTCCACTGGAACACAGTGCCCCATTCTCAAAGGTCTGGCAAACTCGAGCTTTACTACAAAGCCAGGGTCTAGACAGTTAAGACCCTACTTAGCAAAGCTTAGGTAACAGCTGCTCGTTGTTTAAATGTCTTTAAACTGAATGTCTGAGGGTAAGAAGAGCTGACACTTCTGTGTAGAAGGAAGGTGGTGAATAGTGAGGGTTTGCACACGTCAGCTCCAAATATTGCACGGCTTTAGCTCTAAGGTGTCCCTGGCAGGGTTCAAGGCCAGGCTGGATGTGCCTTGAAGCAACCTGGTCTAGTGAAAGGTTCCCCTGCCCATGGCAGAGGGTTGGAATGAGATGAGCTTTAAGGTCCCTCTCAAGCACTCTATGAATCTGTGTTGGATGGGCAGGTAAAATGCAAAGGTTCCAGTAGCTTTCACAATAGCCAGAGCTTAGAAAGTGAAACCTGTGGCTGCCCTAGAAAGTTTTTTGGGCTTTGTACAGGGGGATTTTGCACAGTTTGGGTGTCTTTTCCTATGGCAGGACACTGATGCTGTGCGAAGATAAAAGGTGGGCATGGAGCCCTAACAGAGGAAACAAGAAGCTGTAGAAGTACAACTAAAGGAGCGCAGCACCTACAGAAAGGTTTATGTGGCACTTGGTAGGCACTGGCCTCCTCAGACATTTGCCCAGTCACCATGACTGATTTTTAACTTGGCAACTCTTGTGCTGCACTGGCAACCTGGAGACTTTGAGTTAGATATTTGTCTACAAACAAAAAATCCAGGATACACGTGGTGCCAAAGTAGTCTTGAAACTGTGGCAGTGGTAAAAGAGATGCCAGTGAAGGACTATGGTGGGACTGTAAATTAACAGAAAAACCCAGGGGAGAAAAAGATTTAGGGAGCTCTCAGCATTCCAGGCTTTGGCATGTGCAGGTTTCACGGGTAGTGTATTTAAACACCAAGTAGGGACTGTGGTTTGCACTGAACAAGCTGGTTGGCCTCTGGTGATCTGTCCCACTGCTTGAGAGAGATGCAGGTATGGGACACAGCTCAAACCTCTGGAGTACAGCATCCTAATCCAGGGAAACAGCTTTGCAAGGATGAAAATATCTGCAAGCCAAACCAGTGGCTGAAAAACAGGAATGGTAATTGGGAATCCTCTAAAAGCATATTTCTCATGGCAAGTGGTGTCACAGTGCTAACTGTAAACAGTTAAGGCAGTAAGGAGTTTCCCAAAATTTGGGAGTAATATGTGGCCATCCTATTAACAGACCAAACGATCTAATTTTCAATAATTATGTAAAAAATACAATGGTTCTTTTCTTTACTATAAGAAAAGCAAGATGATATACATATATATACATATACAACTGCTGAAGGGCTGCTCTTAAACAATTCAACCTGTGTCTTCAGTATTCACCACTCTCTAAGGGGTTAATCTTTGCCAGCTGTTGCTCTCATTTCTGTTGCTTAACAATCTCTCTGTAACACCCTTACAAAAACAATGATGTCACGAGCAGTAATGCTTTTGAAAACATACCAAGGCAAACCACAGGAGGCAGTGGAACAAAATAATTTCTTCTAAATGACTTCCCTGTGACAGACCCGTGTTTGCTTATCTCCTACTGCTCGTGCTTGACGGCTATAACAGGCTTTAGGAGGACAGATAAGTAACACCCTGTGTTTGTTCTGTTCCTTTATAGGACGGTTTGTTTAATTTTCATTGCTGGAGCCCCATCCACTGCCGCAGTGGGACCTGCCGTCACTACTCACCTCTCCAAGAACTTGGAGCAGTCCTGGTGACCGTAGATTTCCGCGAGCCTCTTGGGAGTGTCGCCAAAGAGGTCGGCTGCATCCATGGCAGCGTGCAGGGAATGGAGGGTGCGAAGAACCCTCAGCCTCCCCGACTCGGCGGCAAAGTGAGCCGGAGTCCAGCCCACGTCGCTCCGCAGGCAATGCCGGGCACCGTGATCCACGAGGAGCTTGACCAGATCCGACCGCCCTTGAGGTGGGCAGCAAAACAAGGAGAGAAGATGCAAGTGCATCAGAATTTGTGCCTTCAGGATGCAGGAGACAGTCACACACAGTTGATCATAATTCCCTCAGCCACGGATTTTTACCCACGACCCGACCATTTATATTATCATATAAATGATACTCAATAGAAAATGCTGGTTGTTTTTTACCAAACCAGACTGCTTCCAGAAGAACTTTACAACAAAAACAACTATTAGATCAAAAAGCTTTCTAATTTCTGAACAGCAATTAGTCATTGACCAATTGACTATTTATTTGTTACATTTTGCTTTTTAGTTCATTGCAATATAAAATTTAAACACAAAGAATGGGAAAACCTGTGAACAGCTTTACTAAAACAAAGGTTTGTTGGATAGGAGGTAGAGAAAATACTTGTTTTCATTCACCTTCTCATTTTTCTAACCTGGGGAATTGCTTAAAGAAGCAAAAAAAGTTATTTCTAGCCTACTTCACACTGCCTTGACTGAGCCAGATCATTCCCAAAGGCCTCTAGGCAATGTTAGTCTGTCATTATTTTCTTAAGTAGCTCAGTTCCCTTCGCTGATGCCTAAATGCATAATAATCCATCAGGGCAAAAGAAAAACGTGGTCTCAAGTTTCAAACAGCAAATTACACACTTATTTTCTGAGTAAAGACAGATGCCATGACATGACGTATAATAAACACTGCAGCATCGAGGAACAGAGGTTCAGCTTCCCATTTTACACAGTGTACAATTATACATTATGTATTGTTGTATCATCTCTTTTTTGAGATGTAAAGGGATTTTGATTTTAACAGACACTTCTGGAGGGGAAGGACCAAATGGGAGCTGCAAACACCTCTGGTCCTGCCTTGTTTACTCAAGCAGGTGAGAAAAAAGGAAGGCAATGTAAAACACAGTTATTATTTTGTTCCATTTGGTTTAATAAACACCTGGTACAAACACAGCGGGTTTTACTTTCTGCTCACTCACACAGCTGTACATGAGAAATAACTTCTTTCCACTGTATGGAGTCATCTCTTGGAAAAGTAAAGTGGGGGACAAGCAGCCATGCTCTATGTACCTACCATGTAAATTGCAAATTTTCATGTGATGGAAGAGAAAAAAGCTAAAAATCACTTCGATGGCAATCCCATGAATTATTTTGTAGGCAAAGTTCCCACTTAAATTGGTATTTTTATCTTTTTTTTTTTTTTTGCTCATTAAGGACAAAACTACCAAATACAAGCTGTGATTATTTCCAGCATACGTAAAATTACAACCAGAATCACCTTTTATGAAGCTGTTTAGCAGAGATAACAGAGCCAGGGGTGCCCTCACCTTTGGCAGCAGCCCAGTGCAGTGGGGTCCTGTCGTGCCAGTCGACATCCTTGTGGTTTGGGTCGCAGCGTCCTGCCTTCAAAATCTTTTCCACCTGGTCGTAGTCCCCCAAAGCCACGGCTTCGTGGAGCTCTGTCATGCTGCACCCTTCAGAAAGATGCCTGGTAACAGAGCAACAGGTGTTTGGTGGGTGTTCACTGATGTATCAGCTCCTCTCAGGGCTGTTTTAATAGATCAAGCAGCACCTGGATTGAAAATGAGACAGGAACTGTGAGAAACCAGGATTTAACAAAAATAAGGGAAAAAGAATGAAAGAGGAAAAGTAATTATAATTTATCTTCAAACCGGTGATCACAGAATGATGGTGACATTTGGTCTGTAGTCATGGAAATCTGGAGCCAAGTGCAGCCCTTTATATAAAGGACTTATATAAAGGACTTGTATCTAAAGCTTTTCTGAAGGGAGTTGCTGCTAAAATCCAGCTCACAGGGAACATTTGCCACAGGTCTGTTGTGCTCACTAACCATGGAAACTGGCTCCTCCCTTGCCAGTGCTGCAGATCTGTTACTGGTAGCATTTTATTGCAACAACAGAAACTACTGTGCAAGTATCTTCTCTGATGTTCTTTGGTGCAAATAATAATAAGGGATAATAATAAGAAGAATGAAACTTACAGAAAAAGCGATGGGCAGATAGTGATAGGGCAAGGGGGAATGGAGTTAAACTAAAGGAGGAGAAATTTAGATTAGATGTTAGGAAGAAATTCTTGGCTGTGAAAGTGGTGAGGCCCTGGCACAGGTTGCCCAGAGAAGCTGTGGCTGCCCCATCCCTGGAAGTGTCCAAGGCCAGGTAGGATGGGGCTTGGAGTAACCTGGTCTAGTAGAAAGTGTCCCTGCCCACAGCAGGGGGTATGGATGATCTTTAAGGTCCCTTCCAGGCCATTCTATGATTCTAAAAAATAACTGAGCTATGGCCCATTGCTTAAAGTTCTCATTACCAGTCCCATTCAATAGACCCCCATCAAGCAGATCACCAGCCCCTGCAAGGCTTTTGATTTCAATAATTATACTTGTGCTAGAGGGTATTTCCCAGCTGCTTTGCTGGCAGTGAATCTAAGCAGATTGCAAGGATCACTAGGCTACTTCATCATCCTGAGAATGGAAACTGCAATATTTTCTCCAGTCTGGTCAAATCAATGGGGAGAAAACTTTTATATTCCCATATTAATAGCTGGTCTTGAGCTAATTAGTCCCATCACCCTGATAAACCAGAAGCATTTTAGGGTTTGCTGCAGCTTCTGCATTGCATTTACTTCATGGAGAAATTTTCACAGCTTTGAAAAGACTGTGATTTTCATGTTCAGCACGTTGGAAAGGACCAACATCAGAGCTTGCAGAGGCTGATTGCGAGGGAAGGTTTGCAATCCTAAGGGCTTCATTCTGAGCCAGAGATGAATTGGGCCATTTATCTGCTCCCAACTCCCATAAGCATACCAATCACATCCCAAGTCCAGGCTGGAAGGACATAGAATCATTTCCACTCTGCTTTTTTGTAAGGAAAACAAGAAGTACAAAGGTCAGAGGGATTCACAGCCTGCTTCAGTCTTAGGTGGTTGGACTGTGCAAATAAGATCCAAAAAAACAGACCCATACTTGTCTTCTACTGAGCTTGACTCCTGTGTGTCTGGGAATATCTGAACATATTAAAAAATAAAATAAATTCTGGAGCTCCTAGTGGGACGCAGACGTATTGGTTTTGACATGTCTCTGTTACTTCAACCACTTGTTGTGCACTGCTGCCTCCTCCTCCTCCTCATTGGCTCTCACTAGTCTTGAAGAACCTGTTCCTTTAGATTAAGCAGAGATGTTCTGAGCTCTCCTCCAAGATTTCAACTACATTAAATCTATCATGAAAATGGCACATTTTAATGCATCCAGCCCATCACTGAAATGAGGGCTGGACCAAAGTACAGGGAGAAAACCAAACTCTTGAACCTTTTCATACAACTTGCTTATTTGTTTCCAACTTCAGATCATACCTACACAGAGGCATGCAAAGGGAGAGGAAGACAAGCCACTGATCCCACTCCAGGGGCTCACCAGCTCTCCAAGGGGACAGTCCATGGGACAGTTCCATAAGCGATTTAGGCCAAGCCAAATTTTACCTCCCCTCCTGCCCTGCTGCTTCCTTTGAAGCTCATATGGCCGTTTAATAGCTGCTCATCTCTCATAAAATTAATCTTTTATTATTGGTGCTGGTTTTAGGGTTAATTCCCTGAATTCAGTGTTACCGAGGGGGCAAATGCCAGGACTGTGCAAAGGGGGGGTGAGTGCAGATCTGCCCCGCCAGTAGGGACCTGTGCTCAATCTGCTTTAAACCGCTCCAGAAGTTGTACTCAAAAGCGGGATATGCTTCCCTAGAGTGTGATTACCCCCTTCTCCTAAGGCCAGAGGAAAAGATTCGGCTTTTTACGGAGCGACCTTGAGGCAAAGCGCTCCCCCGCAGCTGGTCCCCCCTCCTCGTCCAGCCACAGCTCCTCCGCGGGATGTTGCAACCCATCCGGGGAAATTTTCTCTTGGGGTTCCTGGTGCTTGACGCAGCCCCACTCCGCCACGCTCGGCAGCACCGCCGGGACATCCAGAATCCATACATATGATCCCATCCCTGCCACACGGAGGCACAGCCCAGCACCTCGGCGGCCGCGGGATCCGCCGGGACGTGCAGTCTTTGCTTGGGATGGCCCCGTGCCAGAAACTTGTTTTCCAGGCCCAGGGGAGATTTCTCCCGGGAAGACTGTCTCAGCTGAAAACTAAGGCAAAGTTTGGTCCCTCCCCTTCGGGCAGAGCCCGGCAGTGGCTCGGCCTGCGGGACAGACGTCCTCCTGTGGGAGCAGCCGCAGCTCCCCTGGCTCCGCAGGGCTCTGGGTGGCCGTCCTGCTCCTCTGGACGGCGGGACGGGAGCACAGGGCAACCGGGACACCGCACACCAGGTATGGGAAGCACCAGGCGCTACTCGAGGGCAAAAAAAAGGGTCTGGGGAGAGCACGGGGAGGAGCGACGGTGACGTGAGGGGGATTTTAAAGAGCTGGGTGGTTGCTGCGCAGCCCTTCAAACAGGTTATCAGCGCTCCCCGCTCCCCGGGTTCAGCCGGCTCATGCAGGAAGCCTGTTCCCAGTCCTCGAGGGATCGCGTTTCTCCAGTTCCTCCCTTCCAGCCCCGTATCTGGCCCCAAATTCCTGTGCGTCCCTGCGGAGGGGTGGGATTCACTCCGATGGACGTGCCCCTTCGCCGTTGAGTGTAGGGCCAATTTTCCGGTGGGGAAAACTAACCCACCTCCTGACACGGCCGTGCCCAGCCTGGCGATGGGAAGCAGCAGTGCTAGGCTGCAGCAGAGGAAACTCAGACTAGATGGAAGGGGAAAAGTTAATTCACAGCGAGAGTCTGAGATGTGCAGACCCGAGGCATGTCCTGCTTTGAGCAGGGGCTTGGACTGGGACACTGACCTCCAGTGTCCTTGCCCGCCTAAATACTTCTAGAAGGTTGAGAGGGACACAGCTGGAGGTTTTGGGTGCTCTGCCAGCACAGCATTCACCTCCCACACACCCAGCATCCCAATACCTGCAAGGGACCATGCACCCCAACTGCTGTTGGAGCTGGTGGGGAGAGGGATGGTGATTTTAAGACGTGGGTTTCCTGATGTGTTTTAAGCTCGATGAACTCAGTGGTGAGGTGGTGGACTGGCAGACGTCAGGACAGCCTGCCTGTACTTTACCCTGTGACACAACCATCCAAGCCTCTCCAGGAGCAGCAGGTGGTGGCTCCTCCAGGGAGGGACCGGGGTTGGTGGTGCTGCCTGGGCTTGCACTTACCAACCCACTAACATGTTTAGAGCAGCCAAGAAGCTGTTGTGACTTACAAATAAGATCCTCTAAGAGGCAGCGTAGGAAACAGGGGATACACCAATCCCATCTCTGATGTTATTAGTGGGTGGCCTCCCCTTTCTCTGCCTGCTGGGAGTGAAACATTCTATCTCTTCAAAAACGCTAATATGATGCAGGAAGGGGCTGTTCTCCAGTGCTTGCAGAGAAGTGATAGGGGATGCTCCTGTTGTGGGACATACACTTGGATTTAACTATTGGATCCAGAAACTCCACAGTTTGTGGAAAGACTGAACCCAAGTGCCTCCTCCTGCTGACTGCAGAGCTGCTTCCTGCTGCTTTCACCTGACATCCCCATGCCCCAACCACACAGCAGACAGGTTTCTCACCACCCAAGTCCTGCTGCAGGCCCAAACCAGCAAGCAAAGGGTAACAAGTTTTTTCAGTCCTTAAAATGGGGTGTTTAAAAGCAAGGACAAGAGCTGGGGCTCTCAGGTAAATGCTGTCATAGTGCTTACGTGTGCTTTTTCCCCCAGACCCTGTGAGTGTTGAAATGTTTTGGTATCTGGGGTAGGGACTAAGGTGATCCTATGCCCTGGTGATGAGAAATCGCTCGTTGGTTCAATCTGCAGTGCCAAATCAGGCAGGGGATGTCCTTAAAACAGATTAATCAGAGCTCAAGAAGGGGACAGTGACACCTTCAACCACTGTGGAATATCATACTGGGGAGTGCTACTGAGATGAGCATGGGAAAGTGCCCTGAGATGAGGCTGTACGGCCGTGGCCTAACTCAGGATGCAGGACTCTCATGTGAAATCTTGGGAATTGCCCAGCTCCACCTTTGGTTCTCTCAGTCTCCATTTCTGATCTTGAGAAGTGGGATGTACCAACCTTCCCTGTACAGCTCAACCTGTACCTGCCTGTGCTCATGGTGATGTGCTGTCACTGAATTACTGAGGTCAGCACTAAGCCACATCAAGATGTTGCATGGAAGCAGCCTTTAAAACATGCAGCATGCTTGTTTACTGGGAAAATAAGTGGCTCAGATCAGTGAAAAAAACACACATTAGCATTTCAGTGACAGCCTCAGCCTTTTACACTCTGCAACACAAAAGGCACCAGTGTGAAGGGCTCTTTCCTTCAGCTCCCTCACATTCCTCAGGCTCAGCTCCCCCGCTTTGGCAGCCTTCAAATAAAGGAAAAGACAAGGTCAGGAGAAAAAAAAAACAACAAAGGAGAAAAAAAAAAAACGGAAAAAAAGCCAAAACCCAAATCTAAAACTGTAGGCCCTGGTAAAACCTCCCTTCCAGCTGCCCACTACCCAAGCGAGCGCTCCTGCTTAGGAACTGCTTGCCATTTGCCAATGGCTTTCACCCTTCCCAGAGCCCCCTGAAGCCCTTTCCTCCCTTGCTGGAGAAGCTGGCACCTCTGCAGCCCCCAGCTGCTGGGACAGACACTTGTCAAGGTGACAATGATCAGGTTTTGTCAGGCACATGGAGAGCCTGCTCCAACAGCAGCACCACCATCCTCTGTCCTCCTGCACCAGCAACTTCCCACAAGATTCATGGAGATGTCGGGCCCCCTCAGGAACAGCAAGCCCACTTCAGAAAGTGCTGGGAAGTAGCACAGTGACACCCAGGACCCCATCCTGCTGCTCTCACATGCATAAGCTCTCCTGCTGGAAATCCCTGGAGCACTGGAGGGGAGTTTGCAGGATTTGGCCCAAAAAAGCTCCGTGCTGGATCATCTCCTCATGCTAGTTCACACAGACCCATGGAAGCTCATGCTGATCTATACTGACATTGGATCCAGCCTTGGAATTTAAAAAAAGCCTCTGTGTTTATCCAAGTGTTGGGAAAGGCTGTCGGAGCTGCTTCCTGTGCCCTTTCAATCCCCAGCTCCGGAACCGCTGCGGGAACCGCCCTGCAGCAGCCACAGCACATCAGCTCTGGCAAACAAACTCAAACCCTCAAACTAAAGGCAAAACCACCAAGAGACACGAGGAAGCCATCATCTCTGGCTGAATTCACCATCAGGAATGAGGACATGCTGCTGGAACTTCCATTTCACCTGTTTATCATGCTTGAAGTGGACCCGGCTCTCATCTGAGGCATGTGAGGGCTCCAGCTGTTAAAAATTGAGGAGCAGGATGCTCATTTCAGGCCTCAGCTACTGTACAGCTAGCACAGTTGTGACACTCCAGACTTAGAACACATACAGACATATAAACCCACAGCCTGATTTCTTAGAGAGCATAAGAATTTAATTTCCAGTACCACAGGAGGAGAGCAGGGCTGATGGATGCTGTTATCCCACAGCATCTATAGGGAAGTCAATTCCCAATGCTTAACTTAACAGCCTACAAGGGGCTGGGTCATTTCTCTTCTGCTGCAGATGCTGGAGGTGCACAGATGAAGGTTGAAAACTTGGTTTAATACAAAAAGAATGGGCTGATGATGTAAACTATGGAGGCTGACAGGCTGGAGGTTTGATATTTCCTTTTCTGCTGTTCTTTCAAGGGCTGGACACACTGGGCAGAGCAGCAGTTTATCATATGAGTAGTAAAACACTCCGCACAGTCACTGTGGTGTTATTCAAGTTCCCCCAAAAGAGTAAAGAAGAGCAAAAGCACCATTTTTACCTGTACCTGAATCGGGCATCTTCCAAATTTCCCAAGAAATAATGACATTGTTCTAGAGGAAAGCTGGGAAGGTGTTTAAAAGTCAGGCTTCAAGTGCGAAATGTGTTTTCAACTTGTATTTCTTACCATAAGCAAGGTGCATTTGGTGTCCTTTTCTTAATATCTATTATTGCTTTATAAATTAATGTTCTGCTTAATGCAGCTGGCTTATGAGATGGGTAGAAATTTTAACATTTAGTTTGCCTTTTAAAAAACAGCCATAATATGACAGTTTCTGAAATCTCGAAAACACCCCTCACCTGAACATATTTCTGTTTAGAAAAGCCACATTAAAGCATACAGACCCAGAGCTTCAGTGGCAGCTGAACTCCAGCCCTTTGGACTTGGAATGGGCAGTCACAGCTCCGCTCCTAAACCTACTGCCAAATCCTTTCATAGCCCTGGGTAATGGAAAGAAAGCACTGCTAACAAAAAACACTTTAGAATTCAGTAATAGCCTTGCAGCTATCAAAAAAAGAAAAGGTTATGTAAGTTACATAAAAGACCTCAAATTAAAAAAAAAAAGCTCTACAGAATGACAAATGGGCCTTCGTGGAACAATTAAAAATCAGAACAAACTCTCAGAGAAACTATATCATAAAATAGTCCACACATTTCTCCACCAACTTACAAAAAACCTTTATTTTTGTTTTTCTGTTTTTTTTAATGAAAGGGAAATAAAGTTCCCAACAGTCTCAGAAAGCCTAAGGTTTCCCTTGAGTACCAGTTTTTGTGTGGCTAATGTACTACATGCAACAGTTCCCCCCAGATTTGCAGTTATGGTTAGGTCAGCTTTTGCTCCAATGCCTCCCCAGTTAGATCCTGCTCTGTAAATGATGCCTAATTGTCAGCTGGAGACCCACACAGCAAAGACACTGAACTCAGCACATCAAACTTCCCTTTACATCTTCACATGAAAATAAAGTTGGCTTTTTTTTTTTTATTCCATATTTGGCTAAAGCTTTAACAGTTTCAGAAATGCAGTATTTGGCCTCCTTGTTTACTGCTGACCCCCAACAATCCCCACATTTTCCCTATATACACATTGCTTGGTATCAAGGGGAAACCCTTCCAGAAGCAGCAACTCTGGCTCCTGTACATCCAACAGCTGAAGGAAGAACCAGGGCAACTTCTCAAAAAACAGCAGCTGAGCTGCCAAACTCAGTCTTAAATCAACCACTTGGCCAGGCTTAAAACCCCTTCCAGCAGCTAGTATTAGCTGCCGAGCACTTAAACCTAACCACATCCTCTCCTGTGATCAGGCAGAGACTTTTCCAAGCACTTTTGCTTTATGGGATGTAAGGACGATGGAGCTAGGCTGCAAGAAGGATGGAGATGGGCACGCTGGGACGATGGAGCTGGGTTGCTGTGATGACCACAGACCTGGGCATGCCAGGGATGATGATGGAGCTGGGACACTTGGATGACAATGGAGCTGGGCACGCCAGGGATGATGGCACTGGACACACCAGGGACAACAACAGAGCTGGGCCATTGTTGAAGTGGTGGATGTGGACGCATTCTTGAAGTGGTGGATGTGGAAGGGAATTTTTTCCACATGGATGAATGGAGCCATTAGCTGCAAAGGGGAGCCAGGAGGAGGGCAATACCACACTGGAAGCACAGTTTCCTTCTGGCTCCCTTTCCAGGTGCGTCTGGAAGGGGTGGGTGAATATCCAGCGGTGGCATCACTAGTGTGCGTATGTCCCGCGGAACAGCCCTAGGCAGCCAGGTCGAAGTCGTCGCGCTCCTGGTTGTAGTCGAGCACCTTCTGCCGCAGGCGCGAGGCGTCCACCCAGGTGATGAAATCCTCGACGGCGCGGGGGACGAGCAGCGCGGGGTCTGTGACCACCTCGGGCCCCACGCGGACGTGCCCCTGCTCCACGAAGGTGACGGCGTGGCGCAGGTTCTGCGCCATCCGCAGCTTCACCAGCAGGCAGGGCAGGCGCCGGCGGCAGAAGGCGGCGGCCGAGAGGCTCTCGCAGACGGCCAGCGACTGCCGGCTGCTCACCAGCCCCAGCCCGTGCAGCTTCTCCAGCAGCGCGGCGGCGCAGCGGGCGCGGAACGCGGCGCTGTCCGGGCCCAGGTCGCGGAGCCGCCGGGCCAGGGCGCGCACGGAGCGGGCCAGCGCCTTGTACTGCACGTAGTCCTCCCGCCGGCCCAGCCGGTACCGCCGCAGCGCCCGCACCTCCGCCAGGTTACCGCCCGACGCCTCCCAGTTCACCAGGTCCAGCCGCCGCAGCAGCTTCTGCTCGTGGTACTTCAGTTTCCGCACCATCTTGACGAGACACGGGACTCAGGCTCCGCCGCGCCGCCGGCTGCGAGGGGCCTTTCCGGGGAGGAGCGGCCGCCTACACCGCGGTTCTTCCGGGGAGGAGCCGCTGACAGCGGCCGGGCAGTGAGTCCCGCCCCGGGAGTCCTTCCCCGGGAGTCCCGCCCCGGGGCGGCGGAGCCCGGTGGGGCGGTAGGTTGGGAATGGTCCCGTGTCTCCTTCACGAAGGAGAAGGCAGCGGATAGCGCCCACCCCCGCGGCCGGAGCGGCTTCCTTGCTGCCCAGCCCGGGATGCGGCTGCTTCCCCCCGCGCTCGGCGCATCCCCGGGGCCCGCCCGGCTTGGAGGGGTCACCCCAGGTACGGCCGCACCGCCCCGACACCCGCTCCGTCACGGGCAGCCCGCCCTTGTCTCTCCAGGGATCGAACCCGGGCTTCGTCATTCCTCCTGGAAAAATGGCAGCGGCGTTGTATTTCTCCGTGACATCCCGCTGCTCCTGATGAATAGGCCGATTTTCCTTGAGGAGCCGCAAAATCTTCCCTCTGTGCGGTTCGTAGCACCGCAGACCTCCCGAGTGCCACCGCGGCCTCCCCAGCCAAAGGTTTCATCCCACCTTTCTGTAAGTGCACGGTGCTGTCTGATCCTTAGGATTCAGGATACTCCAAGGAAATTCCCCAGTAGAACAGGTCAGGTTGGTGATTCGGGATTTCTCTGATTCTCATAAGCAGATTTATGTATCAGCTCAATCTTGAATTTCTTACTCCTGGATTTACAGCGCACTGGATTTGTTTCAGGGTGGGTGATCTGGTCACAGAGGCCATGGCCCTCTCCTGATTTGCTTTGTGCTTTTCTTCAGGTTTGCCAGTGAAGGCACCAATGGAAATGTGGACCAACAGCACTGAGAGATTTTACAGAATTCCTGAAGGAAAGGGGCCACACTCGGTTGGATGTACAGACCTGATGACAGATAATGCAGTTGAGGTAAAGCTTTTGGTTCTTTCTCTTTTGGATTTAAGCCACAGTGTTAGCGAAACAACTTGCTGTAGTTTTACAGAGGAGTCACACAGAAGGTCTTGTCTGTGTGCTCCATACTGACATTCATAGCTGAGCTTTCTACCTTCTCCATCCAGGTGTAGGATGTATACTGGGCATTTGCTAGATGGATGTAACCTGCAAGCCTTCCCCATGGCCAATTCCTCCTTCCTCCTAATATTCTTTTCTTTCTGACTCCCCTACTCAAGATACTGCAGAGAAACTGTGTCCTCCTGGGACCCACGGGGTTCTTCCCACCCACCCCACCACTCCCTCTTGCACTGGGCTCCTGAGGAGACTCCACATGCAGTCTCTGTGACTGTAGCTGTTCTAATCACAAAGGTCCCAGCAGGATTTGACAGTGTTGGGAGATGCAGGTGTGCAGGGCTGGGAGATGAGGGTGTGCAGTGTTTCAGCTGCAGGGTAAAGTGTGAGATGTCTTCTTGAGATTTTATCTCTCTTGAGAAGAACAGGATGTCAGTTCTGTAAGAGGTTAGCACAGTGAAGAAGCCACAATAAGAAGATGGGCACAGTAAGTAGACAAGTAGACAAATGATTTCACTTGTGGGTTTCTGTATCAAATCCTCTTGCTTCTTAGACAATCCGCCTGCAGTTACAGTGTGGTTTTACTCCTCAGACTAGCCATAGTGGAGCTTGTGATCAGTTTGTAGTGGTTGGTCATGTTTTCCTTTACTGAGCTTACTCTGTATTAGCACAAAGCAGCAATTAGTTTCTCTTTGCAATCAGCCCACGTGTTTTTGTTTTGATAAGCATTCTGAACAATTGCAGTTCTCTCAAGCATAGATAATGAACATCTTTCCTCTTCTGGTAAGCAGTTAATCACTGGGGAAGTTCACTGGGGCTGTTTTGAGATCAAGTTAATATCTTTACCAATATGGAGGAAGGTTCTTCCTTAGTGGTCTTTTTGTCAAAGGTTGGTTTAACTTTGATAAATAAATAGAAACAAGCTTCATTAAACAAGCTTTTGGTAAACTGATACATTAGTGTTCAAGAAATCAGGCTTTATTCTAAAGGTCATGTTTATTTAATCTTAACTTGCTAAACCAAAAGCACAGTTGGAGCAAGACAGTGAATTTGAATAATGTGTTGCAAATTCCCTTGCAAACCAGGAAGTAAGAATGCAGATACACACAGTTCATCTGCCTGGAACTCTGCTGAGGTGTGCCATTGGTACATTGCTGCTGTCTGCAAAGGAAAAGGACTGACAAGGGGTATGGAGGGTCCATGTGAGTGTGGAAAGCTTGGGTGCTTTCCTGGGAGACCTGGAGAGCAGACAATAAAAGAAAATTCAAACTGGTGGTAAGGAACAGAAGCAGATAAAGCACAGGTTAGCAAAGTTGTGTTTAGAAAGATGGACCACCGGAGACTTGTAAGCATCTTGTTGAGGAGGAAGAACAATATATTGTGTTCCCTTGCTGTGCAGCTGCCCAAGAGCTTCACAGACAGCCTCTGCTCAGTTTAGCCAGGAACACTATAGCCACAAGACCATGCCCCTGACACACCTCCTCTGCTGGACCACACTTCCAGAAACTAGTCTCAGAGTAAAATCTGTCTTGCTAACCCAGTGGAACAATATACATCCAGGGGGGTCCTTTCCCCCCCTTTCCCAGTTTAGCAAACTCAGTTGGGTCAGTAACAGCTCCATGAGACTCACTGACGCAAGGAAAGCAATGACAGCTCCCAGCTCAAAGGGTGAAGGGACAAAGTCATAAAATCATGGAATCACTGAATGGTTTGGATCGGAAGGGACCTTAAAGACCATATGCCATGGGCAGGGACACCTTCCACTAGGCCATGTTACTCGGGGCCCCATCCAACCTGGCCTTGAACACTTCTGGGGATGAGGCACCCACAGCTTTTCTGGGAAACCTGTGCCAGGGCCTCACCACCCTTACAGTAAAGAATTTCTTCATATATCTAATCTAACCTTGCTCTCTCTTAGTTTAGAGCCATTACCCCTTGTCCTGTCAGTCCAGGCCCTTGTCCAAAGTGCCTCTTCAGCACTCTTAGAGCCCCTTTAGGTACTAGAAAGTGATCTAAAGTCTTCCCAGAGCCTTCTTCAGGCTGAATGTCCCCAGCTCTCCTGGCCTGTCATCCTAGGAGAGATGCTCCAGCTCTCAGGTCATCCTCAGTCACCCCTCTAACAGTCAGCCCTATAAAACTGCATCATAGAACCATTCCCAGTGAGGAAGACAGAAGGAAAGATCCACCAAGATGCAGAAATGGAGCAAATTGGTAGTGACTGTTTGTAAATTATTAACTTAGTTAAATGGAGCATTTTGAATTAGCCATAGGCTAACCTAGGGAAGGTAATGTGCATCTCTGCCTGTGAAGTTCTGTATCTCATGCTACTTTAAATTCATTTTAGGGACAGAAAGTGAATTGGCATCAAAGCCTGTATAGGATAATAATTTTCTCATGAGATTCTCTTAAATCTCTTGAGCTGTCATTCTTGCATCTGAAGCCCTTTATATGGATGATTTTATCTTCCTTTTTCTCTGTCATATAGAAAGAAATGCCAATATTGGTTTTTTTACTTTCCTCCTGATCCCAGGGAAGCTTCTTACGCCTGTATTACCCAGCATGCGATGCCACAGATATTGAGGAGGCACGATGGATTCCAGACAGAGAATACTATCAGGGACTCTCTGACTTCCTTAATATGTACCGGATTGTAGGAGAAAGGCTTTTCCATTACTACGTTGGTAAGACTGGTTCTGGTTTTATTCCTTGACTAGTGCATGAGCTCTGTTTGCAGGCCACTGCCTTGCTGCTCCAAGAACAGAGTGGTATTGCTGGACTGAAAAATATATTTTAGCTACCAAGTGTTTTTGTGGGATGGGTTTCTGTAGGGAGGCTCAGTGCTGAACGTGACCAAGTTCTCAGGCAGTCCCTGACTGCTGTCGGTAGGAGTGTCTGGGCAGCTTGCTTTAGGAAGAGCTTGGGTAAGCTGCACCTATGTGTTGGGATTCAAATCCCACAGGGAAATGTGCAAAGATGTAAAAGCTGGAGAGATCCTAAGGTCTGAATACCAACAAGACTTGGATGCCGGACTGTTAGTGTTTAGGAGATATGTAGACCTCGTGCCAGACTGTGGCTGGGAAGAAGAGAGGGAAAGTATCTTCTGCCAAGTAGTAAGTATTTTCAGAATAGATCTGGATTTGTCTTATGTATTTTAAAGATGAGACTTAGTACCTTATCTTTAGGTGACTGCTCTGAAGTCAGTGGTCACCACATTCTTGGGATCTCTCCCACAGGAACGAACACTTTCTCTCATTTCAGTAACAATGACATACACTTCTGTTTTTATCCAGGTTCAGTGACCTGTCCCGCAAAGTCAAATGCTGCCTTTAAGCCAGGAGAAAAATATCCACTTCTTATTTTTTCCCATGGACTTGGAGCTTTTCGGTAATTCTGCAGTTTGTTGACAAACTATTTTTGTTGTCTATGGAGACAACAGTTATCAAGGATGGTTCTGAACAGTTTTTCAGTAGGGGGGTGAGATCCTTCTGGAGCTGAAACAGATTTCAGTAATAGGCTGCTGTGTGTCAATATGCCTCCACTGAAACAACAGCAGTAAAGAAAAGCAGGGTTGATGTATTTTTGATCATAGAATCATAGAATGGCCTGGGTTGGAAGGGACCTTAAAGATCATCTTGTTCCAACCCCCCTGCCATAAATAGGGACACCTTCCACTAGAACAGGTTGCTCGAGCTCCATTTATTTTCCCTTTGTATGATAGAGGTGAAGATATTTACTGACCCATAAGCACACTGTGAAGAGTAGCTAGTTGATTTTTGGACAGCTCTTTGAAGATGCAAAGTGCTGTATGTGCTACAGTAGCATTTTCCCTTCTGACAGTAAAACAGCACCAAGGTTTTCTGAACAGGCTTTGGTGCCTGGCATACACAAACATGCTCTGCTGGGTAGCAAATTCAAACAGAAGGAAATATCGAGTGGGGACTAGCACATACATGGTGTAGTCAGCATTTAAAAAGCAGTGGAGTTGAAAGAGTTAATGACTCACCAGAGTGTGTTTTTTATTGCAGGACAATCTATTCTGCTATTTGCATAGAGATGGCTTCTCAGGGCTTTATAGTGGCTGCTGTTGAGCACAGGTGTGTATGCTGCATGTTTTGGGAGTTCTGATGGCAAGAAATTTTCTCACATTGAACATTGAATGTTATTTATTCTAAAGAAGAATTTTTTATTCTTTTTAAAAAAGAAAAACTGACATCTCTCTTTCAGCCCTGCCCATAGCTGGGCATAGCTCCCATAGCTCAACTCTTCCCTAAACAAAAGGAACTTTGCTTAGATAAGCCCTGGAGTAAAAAGTCTCATAGTAGATAGAATCTGGAGAATATAAAGAAGCTGAGAGTTTTGGTGGGGTTATTGCATCATTTAGAAAGTCTGTCTACACTCAGTTGCAATTGCAGTAGCACTGGTTGATAACTGGATCTCCAGATCAGTGAAATCTAAAACCTGTGCTGACTTCATCTCAGACCAAATGGAATGCATACCCAGAAATAACCTTTTGCTGATATTACAGAGATGAATCTGCTTCAGCAACATATTATTGTAAAAGAAGGTCCGTTTCTGAATCACAGGAAGAGTCTACATCAAACATGGAGAAGGAGTGGATCTACTACAGGAAACTGAAAACTGGAGAGGAGGAGCGTTGCTTGCGCCATAAGCAGGTACTTGGACTGGGTCTGTGCTCTGGGAAGTGTGGCAGGAGTGGTGTGTTTAGGGCTGACTAGCAGACTCTTTCCCTTTGGCAATGTCTACAGTCTTCTGCCATGACTCAGGGTATATATAAATATGGATCAAGTCACGTGTTCCTGAAGATGGAAAAGCCAACAAGTTTTCTTCTGAGCATAAACTACTTCCTCAAAAAAGCTTTCTCATGAAGCCGCACTCTTGAGCTGAGTCAGCTGTTTGTCCTCTGGTTCCACTCAGCTTTCTGTTTCTTCTTCGTGTCTTCACACTTTTACTGCCCAGCCCAGCCTACAAGTGACACAGAGTTCAGTTCATATGTTTTTGTGGCCTTAGGCTCACTTTAGCTTTCATTTACTGTTGCATAGCAAGATGAATCATGGCTGCTCTGAGGGGGATGTTTGCTTCATAGTCTTCAACACACTGAAGGTGGTTTTTAGCAATGTAAACAGTGCAGACTTCCTGCTTATAAGCAGTGTCCATGCTAGATGTGATGTGACCATACTAATGAGCTCCTCCAAGCATAACTTGACCTTTATAATACAGGAGTGTTTTTTCCAGCTAGCGAAAACTCAGCCAGGGAGCTGCTTCTCTTTATCTCCCAGGGCCATACAGACAGCAGTCCAAGAGTCATTTCCTGTATGCCTACAACATCCTGCTTATGAGTCTCAGTGTGTAATGTCTGAACTTGCAAACAACCTCCAGAAGCCATTGTCTACAAATTTCACAAGTAGAGAAGTCAGGAGATTGGGATGTATTTGAAATTCAGTGGTGCACAGACATCTTGCTGGCTGCCTACACACTGTGGTTCCCAAGAACACTCCTGTTCTTTGATTCTTCTTGAAGCTTCTCTTTTACTGACATATCAAAGCTAAAAACTGTTCTTATGTGGGACAATGAAAACCTTTATTTGCAACAGTTTTGCTACAGTTTTCAAGGATGTGTATATATAAAAAATGAGATGGGCTTCTTAGCTCTTATTTGGGGTTTATCTGGTGTAAAGACAGTTTCAAGGCTATTGTGCAGATACCCCAACCTCTCTTTCTCCCTAGGTGCAGCAAAGAGCACAGGAGTGTATCAAAGCTCTCAATCTCATTCTTAAAATCAATTTGGGAGAGGAAGTAACAAATGTACTACATTCAGACTTTGACTGGAACAGCCTAAAGGTGAGTGAAAGGTGGCGACTGCATTTGGTTAAACAGCTAATAATGCTTCTGGTCTCCCTTTTCCATTTCTAAACTGGTTCCTGTAAATTATTCTGAAGATCACACTGTAGATCTATGAACATATTCTCAGGTCATCCCAAGATGGATAGATAGCAATGGAGCTGAAATGATGCTCTTCTCACTTCAATAGGATCTATTTCCTAAGAAATTATTCCCTTTAAAAAAAAAATTTGGGAAAGAAAGTCTCTTACAGCACCTGGATTTTTTTGACAGGATTCTGTTGATACTAGCAGAATAGCTGTGATGGGACACTCTTTTGGTGGTGCTACAGTTATTGAGAGTCTCAGCAAAGAAATAAGATTCAGGTGAGTATGCAAAAGAAGGCAAGAGACATTTGGCACTGGAGAGCTCTGGAGCAGAGCACCTTCTCTAGGATCCCCCAACTACTAATTAGCAACTGAAGCAAAGGTTTGTTTGGTATGTCTTGCTTTCTCCAGTCATGCTTCCTACAACTGTGGAACATAATAGCTGTATCTTATTATATCATGATACTGTGGGACCCTGTTGTCCTGGCAATGGAGACCAACAAATGCAAGAACAGACTCATTCTCTTCCCCCAGAGTAGAAATAATTTTGAAACAAAATGATTCATTAACCTGTTCAGTATAAGAGAGAGCTCTTTCCCATGTCTCTTGCAACTCAAAGCATGCTGAGAACTTCCATTAAGAGCTTTCTGCTTCTGTGCCAATATCCAGTTGTTTTTGGCAGGTGTGGCATTGCCCTCGATGTGTGGATGCTTCCTGTAGGTGATGACATTTACCAGAACAGTGTCCAGCAACCGCTGCTTTTTATCAACTCTGAAAAATTCCAGTGGGCTGATAACATCTTAAAGATTAAGAAGCTCATCTCCAATGACACAAACAAGAAAATGATCACTATCAAGTAAGTGTCCGGGATCCATAATTTCTGTGGTTGAAGGTGAATCTTTCCTTTCTTGTTGGAGCTGTGCAGTTATATGTAACTGCAGAAAGACAGTCACTAGAACACAAGTCCTATGAGGAGCAGCTGAGGGAGCTGGGGGGCTCAGCCTGAAGAGAAGGAGGCTCAAGGGGGAACCCTACCACTCTCTATAACTACCTGAAAGGAGGGTGTAGCCAGGTAGGGGTTGGTCTCTTCTCCCAAGTAAAAAGTGATAGGACAAGAGGAAATGGCCTCAAGTTGTACCAGGGGTGGTTTAGATTGGATATTGGGGAAAATTTCTTCACTGAAAGGGCTGTCAGGCATTGGAAAAGGCTGCCCAGGGAAGTGGAGGAGTCACCATCCCTGGAGGTATTTAAAAGTCATGCAGAAGTGGCACTGAGGAACGATTCTGTCCTTCCTCACGGCCCAGGTTTTTACTGCACATTTAAATGAGCCATACATCTCCCATACTGGGGACAGAGACCTCTCAAAGCAGCCAGTAACTCCAGGTTTTGAGATACTCCAAGGTGTGCATTCCTGTCCTGGGTCACAAGTGTTGCTCTGAGCCTCATGCATCATCTGAAGACTTTAAATAGTCTTCTGGGGGCAGTTCTGCACTCACCCAGTGAAAGCAGTGCAGTGGATGGTTCTATCCTGCACCACAGATGAGGAAAACAACTTTATCTTGATGTTTTGCTAAGCCAACGCTTTATTGCCATTGCAGCTGTAGTGACCTACACTGAGCGTGTACAAACCTTCCTCCCTTCTGTGCTTAGTACAGAATTTCCTGCTAATCTTGCATACTCGTGAGATTAATGTGTTTTATCTTCTGCTAAAGAAAAGTGTAAGACACATGACTGAAGTCTGTGCATATTTTAATTGTGTGATTTAATGTATTCTTATAAACCTGTTGATCATTTCTGTATTTGCAGGGGGACAGTACATCAGAGCTTTCCTGACTTTACCTTTGTAAGCGGAGGAATTATTGCAAGATTTTTCAAATTAAAAGGAGAAATAGATCCAAATGAAGCTATTGATATCAGCAATCATGCTTCATTGGCCTTCCTGCAGAAACATCTAAGTAAGTATCTGTTTACAGAGAAGTATGAAGTTAGCTCATATTTAATTTCTGTGAAGCTTTTTATTCAGTTTAAAGCAAGATCAAAATAAGTCTGTCAGTGGAAAAAACAAGTCAGACAGTTTCTAGAGTGTCAGTTACTTTTGTAATCTTAGCAACTCAGAGCAATGTCACTGGCATTTTGTTCTCATAGAAAAAATGATACTCCAGATTTTTATGTTTCTTAAAACATCATGCCTCCCTTACTTTGCCAAGTTGGTTTTATTTTTCAGTGTAGTTTTACAAAAAGCTGATTACTTACTCATTACCACTTGGGTTTTATTTCCCCCGTTTTACAGGTCTTAAGAAAGATTTCGATAAGTGGGATTCACTTGTGGATGGCATAGGACCCAATGTTATTCCTGGAAGCAATATTGACATATCTCCAGCTGAACCTGAATAAGGAATACAAAGAAGTACTGAAAATGCCATAGACATCAGGACACTAATGCTGGCCAGACATTGCTCAGACATGGGGTGGCATTAAACACCTACACAGCTTTTGGGGTGTGGAATAAAAAAAAAAAAAAAAAGGCATTAAGTTACATTACCATAAAACCAGAGGTTTTGATTCAAATGAGTTAGTAGGATAATAGTGAATGGATAGTAGGATAATACTGAAATACTGCAACAGGGTAACTTCTGCTTTGTAGGCAGCTTGGGGGAAATCACTTCATGGTAATTTAAATGCTCTTTCTGGTTTGGACCTAAGTCAAGTTTGCGGAGAGACAGATTAAGCTCCAAGGAATACAACTACAGTTCTGCTTACCAAGCTTTAAGTCAGTTTGCATCCAGCAAGCAACCAAAACCACCCCTCCCCCAAAACCACCACTTTGTCATTTAGATACTGTTTCAGCTGTGCTCTGACAACAGCTGTGAGTTGGGGCAGGTTGTTGCTCCTTCCAGTCAGAAAGGTGCCAGTGGAGGGTGGTCTTCAAAACTGCCTTATTTTAGTAAACCACAGTAAAAGCTACAGGAAATAGTTAAGATCACAGCAGAGAAAGGTGTTTGTTCAGACACAGGACTCCTCATATGAACTTGATCCACTTAAATGTAAGATCTGTGTTTAGTGCCATACCTAGAGAATATTTCTATTCCAAAAGCTTCTGTATTGGTCACTCTGTAATTCCCTTTGGGCAAAGCTCCAGGCAGTTCCTCTCTTGTTAATGTCTGTTACCACTATCACACAGCCTGCAGCTGAAATTATAGAGATGTGGCACCTGTAAAGCTCCCTTTACATGGTCCTTGTTAGCACTGCTTGATCTTCTGAGGTCTCTCATGGTACTAATTCTCCCCTGATACTCCTCTTTGTCCAGGTACAGTGCTGTCTGTAGCTGACAGCAGAAGCAGCTGGCTCCCACTGACAGAGAGCAATGGTAATACCTGGACAAATAGTGTCCACAGCCACCTGGTCAGCCTTGTTTAAGGCTGTCATTTTTGGATCAGAAGTTTCTGAATCTGCCCCATGGGAAGGGTGTCTTCTGAATTATGTTCATTTCAAAATGAGGTTACAAACAAAACTGAAGCAAGCAGAACAAGCAAAGCAATTAACAGTGTAATTAAATGTTACATAATCTGTGATCTTAAAATGAGATTGCAACAACACCTAAGACCTGTCCTTCAAAATTTAATGAAGTTCTTTCCAACCTACCACCATGTATTGTCTTTATTAAGCATTTAAAGATGTGTTTGAGTCACAGCTAACACCTGAAATCTACTGTGAGACAGCCAGACTGACACTATCAGCCAGCCTGCATTCCTAATCCATATGGCAGCATGAAAAATCCACAGCTTCTGAAGAGGAGGAAAAAGCTATGCCATATAGGAGCATGGAACACCACCATAAAATAAAATCCCCTTTTGAACACCTGAGGAGGAGATTAAAAGGTGAGATCTTTGAATAGCTGCAGGTTAAGTCCTTACACTGCTGTACCTGTGTAGCAGCGACACCATTCGATTGGGTCATCTTCATATTTATTGGAAAAGCTTCATCTTTCATTAGTGAAATTGGAATAACTTCAATTAATTAAGTGCAATTACTGTTTCTAATTATTCACCATAGCTCACAGTGCTCTAGAGAGCTGGTTAAGGTCAAAACAGAACTAGGGACTGCAGAACAGCACCCACACAGCATTTGTGCTTATGCATAGGGAACAGACACAAGTCAGTAAAAAAACACATTAACAAAACAGTATATGTCAGCCAAAGCTTTATTCTAGCTTCTTCCATTGCTTTAGAACAGCACCAAATGCAAGATTTCAACCCAAAACAACTGTATTTCCCAACGGAGGAAAAAAACCTTCCTCCCCCCACCACACCCCTGCAAAAATACCCTCAATTTTCTTTTTTTTTTTTTTGAGGAAAAAAAACCCCATGTAACAACGTAACTTTTGCTTTCCAAAAGCAAACATCAGCAAGCAGTGCTGTACAACAAATAGCATATACAGAAACTCATAAGAAGCCTTTTTTGAACAACCACCCACCTTAATACAAGAACTCGATACAAGTCAGTGCACCCACACACAATAAGAAATGCCAGTCAAGAGGCAAACTTATTTCAGTAAAGAAAGTACAGTTATGAGAAACAAGCTAACAATAACAGTCTACCAACAACAGCTGTAGGAAAAAAAGTCGACAATGTCTACCATCAACACTTCTTTGACAAGGAAGTGCAGTAGTGACAGGCATTTAGTCAGTTAGGGAGAAAAAAAACCAACTCAATGCTTGTCTTGTGTTCTCATTCCCATGAACACATTTCCATGGGAATGTTTGGCACACAGGTACTTAATCAGTTTCATGTGGTGAACATGTCACTTGGTTTTAGCAATGCTGGAGGGCACAAATATCTTCAACTAAATCACAGCTGTGGCCGGTTTGCTTTTCTACAGGGAATAAACACAGATTAGACCAAACAAGATGTGTCTATAAATGTATATAAATGCATTATCATCTAAAGTCACAGCTCTACAGGGCTTCAGACTAAATATTATCAACATATTGGACCATATGAGAAGACTACATTTACAAAAAGATGAAAGAGCAGACCTGCCCAAAAGATGAAGCAGCAGTGCTCCCAGATTCCAGTTATGAGTTCAAGTCACTCCATCCCTCATTGGGCTTGGCATACATCACTGCAGGAGTTTTTGCATCCTGTGGATCAGGTACCTTCTACTCAAACTGCCTTTCCAGGCAGTGCCACACATGTGCAGCAAGATCCAACTCTGTGACATGTGGTTGCACCACCTTAGCTCACATCTCCTGTGCTGCTGCTGAGAGGGCGAACATACTAATTCCATGTAAAGTGTTCAAGAACAGACAATGGGCAAATTTGGACAATAATATTTAGCAAGCAAATAAGGGAAAACAACTAAAATGAAGAGGTAAAAACTATGAAAGTATTATCAAGACCACAAAAATCAAGAATAATTCTGCATCTAGGTGATGCAATTGCGGGAGAATTTGTAGATTCACCATTTTAACATTTTAATCAAGTTCTTTTAACTGCCTTTTTTTTGGTTTAACAGGCAACTAGATCTCTATTGCAGGCTTCATTATTTGCTACCCATAAACCAGTCAGCTTTCAGTACAGTTGTACTGAAATATAATTACCAACTCAATGCCTGAAAGCACATATGCTATCTCTATTTAAACTCAGTTCAGTCTTCATCAGGCAACCACAGAAACAAGTTGCCCAGACAGGTTTTGGAGTCTCCATCCTTGGATAGATTCCAGACCTGTCAGTAAGGTTCTTAGCAACCTCATCTAGTTGACCCTGCTTTCAGCAGCTCCAAAGGCCCCTTTCAACCAGAACTGCCCTACAATTCCATAGATTATAACCAGAAAGAACCTGTACTATTTATTTGGTGCACTGATTACCAGTAACACATCAAAATTTATAAGAAACAATAAAGATGTACATGCACTATTCACAAACAACTAAGATGGTATTATTATGGGTTTAGATTTATAGACCAAAGATCTATTATGGGATTGGGGCACTCAAATCCCACACTAAATGCTTGGTAGAATCTGCCTAGCAGTCACTCAACTCTGCCTCAGAAACATGAGCAAGAACAGCATGCTAATGGCAGATGCTCAAAACCCTACCAAAAATTATAGCTTGGGTGAACCATCCAAGAACAAGCTCTTCCAAGAGGCTCAATCCATCAGGTGAATAAATAATTATTAAACTGATTTCCAATCCAGACAGAGTAGCAGCTCTCATTGCATGTGGTCACCCCTAAACTGACAGTACATAAGCTAATGATACTAAGAACATCTCAACAACAGTATCAACTACATAAATTCAAATTAGTGTTTTAACTGTGTTTTCTAAAATAAAACACTTTCTAGAAAATTAGAAAACATCTCAACACCAAATACACAACCCATTTGGGAGGTTTCAGGTACACTTACCATGAAGCAAGGACTCCTCTGGTAAAGACTGGAAGTTTTCTGCTGCAGAGGTTAATGCCTATACAAAAAGGGATCTTCTTAGGAAGTTGGCACTGTTGCTAAGACATCCACTGAGGTGCTTCCTTTAATACTAGACTAACTTTTTACATCAGCACTACTGGACTCCTATGTACCACTGTTTTCCCCCCTTATAACTCATTATATTAGGTCTTCTGCCCACTTTTCGCTTTGATTCAAAAACTGCATGTGAAGAACAAACTGGAAATTCATTCTGTTATCACCACAGCATGGCTGATGACCTGAGCTTTGGGTTCTAGACACGACTTTTTCATGGTAGGTACTTCATGAAGAACACTGGTGAAAACCTTACTATTCTTTCCTAATTACTTCATAATAGAAGTATTTTTCATTATTTACCAGTTAGTTAGCACCCTTTCTGAAAACCAGTACCGTCCTACCCAGTCCACTACCACACTGCCATACCTCAGATGATCCGCAAGCCGAGTCAGGAATACCGTTCCAGACATTCTCAGGAGCCACAATTTCCTCACTGCCACTGGAGAGATTCAAGACCTGCAGAGAGGGAGCCAAAGTGTATCTAGCACAGCAGCAATACACTCAGCAAATAAGACACTGCAGTGGGAAAACACAGTTGAGGACTCTCTGCCTTTAGAAGGTTTTGAGAAGTCTGTATCTTGCAAGGAAGAGCAAGTTAATCTCTAAAAAAACTGAATATAATTACTGAATCTGTTCAAGACTCTTCTGGACTTCTAAGGTAAGTATAGTGAGAAACAAAGGCTGTAAAATACCTACTAGATCAGAACCAGAAGAAAGCTGGTGAAATAATAATACACAATAGACACTGAACCTCATCTGAATACAGCTGAGGTTAGTTTTAGATACCCAAGGGATCTACTAGCAAAAGAGCTGGCTTCCACAATCTCAGGCATTCAATCTTCCAAAAAGTTGCTTTTCTGTAAAGATCTTTTGGATTTGCAACCTTAATTATAACTTAAAGGTCATTTTATCCAAGTATGACATCTGTGATGTGTGTACATAGACACACACTCCCCCTGAACTGAAGGAAAGCTTCCGATTCATCCCATAGCATAAGGAGCAGTAGAACAAGGCAGCTCCCTCGATTATCCTCTACTGTTAAAGTTAACTCCCACCAGCCACTAACGTAGTACACATTTCACTGAAGCAGGAATAGTCCTGGATTCATTATTATATACAGTACAGTTCAAGTTTCTTCCCAAAGTTCTACTGTTGTAGCACTAATTCCTCAAAACACCAGTAAAATAGTACCAGGTTTCATGAGCATTTAATGGTAAAACAGCTCCACAGCAGAACATTAACTTGCAGGCCAGATAGAACCATGTGTATAAGTGTGCATCTCAATCTGGAGCCAACTCCTTCAATATTCCCAGTCAATACAAGGGAATAAGATGTGAAGGGAATATCAAGTGTTGGCATGTAGCATCCAACTCTATTTGAGACACTCCTGTTTCCGTGTAGCCTTTTATAGAGTGAAGATCTAAAATATTCAATATTAAAATATTTAGAGGAAGACTACAGAAGGACCAGATCTTAAGAAGGCAGAAAGAATATTCAAACCATACTTACCCTAGTACCTTTTTCAGATATCTCCAAAATGCGAGCCTCACACCACTGGAGAGAGGTCCACACCACACATTTGGAACCAACAGCAAAGCCCTTCAGATTACAAGGATATTCAGGGTGTGCTACAAGAAATTATGACATATCAATGAAGGAGGAAGAAAAAAAAACAAACACATAAAGTCCCAAAAAAATCACCCCTCAAAAAACCTAAGATGCCTCACAACACTGCTCCCCTGCCCCCCTCCAAACTACTTACTTGATATTGGAAAGCTAAAATTTGTCATCCTGAGCAGTCTTGCAAATGCATTTCATGTTCTGAAATAGATTTCCAATCGAAATCATTCTCCCCTGGTAAGATTAGTTGCTGTTGCACTGTCACATTAAACATGAGATACTACACTTAGTCTGCTGTCCTTAACCCATCAAAGCATACTGACATTAACGCTAATATGTTAGCTTATTAGGAAATAAAAATTAGGTTTCTACAAGCAAGCTATTCTCATGTCTGAGTGAGCACAACATTTTAATTATTTAACTTCTCAAAATCAGGTAATTTACCTGCACTGCAGTCAGCCAAGTTCTCGTTTTGCTTTTCTTCTTCTTCATCCCCAGACTTACAGCCTGACGACTGCCCATGCGTATTTCCACACTCTTTAAATGAGTCTGTCAAGTCTTGTTTCATCCACTCTTCCACACAGTCATCTTGCTGCTTCTGCCTCCCCTTACGTTTCTTAACTTTGTAGTCACATGATTTTACAGGGAAAACAGGCCTCTGATCCACTGAGTCTTTCGTAAGAAATGAAAGTTGACTTCCACTATTTGCAGAATTCTGCAGCACAGCATGTTCCAGCTCTAACAAGTCCTCCTCCCTGTCTTCCTGAGAAGGCTGAACATCAGGCAGCACCAGTTCCAGAAAGTGCCCAAACTTGGCACTTACGACTGACTGCTTGTCATGGGTCTTCAGGTCCAGTTGTTTCTCAGGTCTGCCACCAGATGATGACAGCCTTAGGGGAGGGGCGTCTGCTTCCATCCAATCACCTAGTAGATCTTCTGCCTGATGAATTCCGGACAAATTCACTCTCAGTTTCTTTGGGTTCCCTCCCAAAGAAGGCTGAACAACAGGCAGAATCGGCTCTTCTGACTTCTTTCCATCACTAACTGAAGGCACCAGGTTTTCTTTCTCATTAAGTAATGTTAAAATTTCAAGAAAGTTCAGAGCTGCCAACTCTCCTGTCTCCTCACTACAAACTGGCAGCTCCAGCAATTCCTGTTCCAACACTGTCTCTCTTGTTTCACTGCCTGATGCTGTCTGCACTTCAAGTGACTTTGTTTCCAGGGCTTCCTTTGTTTCTTCACTGAAGGAGGACTTGGCTGAAAGTGCCTCTAGATCCAGCAGGAACTCTTTTAGATCATCATATGAATAGTGCATTTCTAATGGATCCAGTTCTACTAACATCCCAGTTCCTTCGCTGGAAGATGGCTGTGCCTGGAGCACTGGCAATTGCTGCAGCTCTTCTGGTTTGTTTCCTAGAAAGAGGTTGGCTGCTGAAGCACTGCCCGTCAGTTCTGCTTGCAGCTCAGCATCCTCTCCAAACAGTACTTCAGACAGTTCTTGTTCTGAAGCTGTCACTTCACTCCCTGAAATATGAGGGCTGCAGCATCTCATTGGTTCTAGTAACATACTGTTATCACTATCGCCTTCAGACAGAGGTACCTCTTTATCAAAACTGTTCTGATGCTCTGCTGTTTCATATCCATCATCAGCGTTCCCACTGGCAGCTCCCACTGATACATTTGCTTCTGCAGTTTCTAAGCATTCAGAAGTTACACCCAGGAAAGGTTCAGAACGAAGTAAAGCACTTCCTTCCTGAGCTAATCCACAAACAGCAGTAGTTTCTCTTTCAAGACAAAGACCCATATCACTGTTTGAACTTCTATTTTCCTTTAAGAGGTTGTCAAGACTTGAGAAAGCACTGTCACCAGTTCCTTTATTAGCCTTCCAAAAAGGCTTCATCTCTTCATTAATACTATTGCCAGAAGCTTCCAGCTTGACAACACAGAGAGGAACTTCAGAATCTTTATCTTTCTGAGTTTCTACTACTTCAGCTTCTAATACAAGGTCTGCAGTCATATTATAAAACTTCTGATTTGCTTCACTAAGCCATGAGCCCTCTGAAGCACTGAAACCTGACAGACAGCAAGCAAATGCCTGACCAGGTACTCTGAGCAGTTCACATGGAATCTGTCGGACCATCTCCATGCCAACAGCTTCCTGGCTTCCGTAATCCACATGTCGAACAACTACGCTGTCACCTTTTACACTGACGATCTGAGCTCTGTAGAACCATCCATCTTGACTGTATTTTGCTAGACAAGTATGACCGCCTTTAATACAAGATATTCTGCCATCACTCAAAGAGCTCAGTCCAAGCTTTTCAGCTTCCTCTATTTTTTTGTCAATGTAGCTCAAGTGTTCAGTATCAGCACTATGACACCAGAAGTATTCTGGGCCATTTACTACTGTGATGTAAATTTTTAAAGTCTGACCTGCCTCTGGAAACTTCCAGATAAATGATTTACAATCACAGGAAACCTCACTTGGTGCCTGAGAAGGCAAAGGCTCACATGAAGTTATCATGTCACTGTTCTCTCTTTTATCAATTATTTCAGTTGAACAAGATCTCTCTGTACTTGCAAGATCATTAGGTAAATCCACTGTTATTATACCTTGATGGTCACTGAGAATAACTTCCCATTTATCCTCAACCTTTTCTACAAATTCACATGACAGCAGAATTTCACTTGTTCTCTTGGTGAAGTAAAGCACTGTTTTCTCTGCCCAGTCTGTATTTTTTTTGCACTTAAGTCCACCTAGGAAGCAGTGAATGCTTATTGCTGGAATAGATGACAAGTCCTCAGGGAGCCTGCGTGCTTGATGAACACTAATTACTGAAGTATCACCATAATCAATATAGTGTACCCTTATTGAATTGTCAGAAGTCTTCTCTTTTACTGCAGCTCTATACCACAGGTTGTCTTCTGAATAAACAGCACTGATTAAATCTCCTGCTTGGAAAAATTGTCCACAAGGATTCTTCGCTGGTGTCCCATTGTTTAAACTTTCCAAAATGCTGTTAAGCTGAACCTCATCACTCCCTAATTGAACATAAAAATCCAGAGGATCATTGACATAAGACACATACACTAATGTTTTATGAGCTGGCACTATCTTCTGTTGTGGTAGATCAGACACATTTTTAAGCATTACACACCTGCCTTCAGCACCAGATTTAATATCTGACCGTGTATCCATCTGGATAGAGAGCAGAGACTCCTCCCCTGCTTTACTTAACAAAATAGCATCCTTTTTACTGCTAAGCATTTCATCAGATTCTAGTAATCCAGCTGCCAGATCTCCCTTGCTAGAGGGCTGGAAAAGGTTTACATCTTCTTTGAAGTGCCTTTTGCTCCCTTGTCCTCCCTGAGCTTCAGATCCGCATTTTTTGCTTTCAAGAGGCCTCCCTGCATTTAAAGGGGACACTGCAGTCTCATTCACATCTCCATTTCTAGAGCACTGAGTGCCACTTTCTACATGACTACACAGTGTTGCGTTGTTTAGGCTTAGCTCCTTCAGTTTTGTATTAATTTGAGTATTACTATCAAACAATTCAACCAGCAGTGTATTATCAGAGTCCTTTGCTACTACTATTGCTTTTAATTGCCTTTCTAGGACAGCTTCCTTAAACCATGTTGCAGCTTCTTTGGAAACAGAAGATACATCAGATATGGAACACTTTATGGCCTGCATTGGCACAAGCAGGATATCAGAAGCATCACTGGGTAAAGGAAGCAGATCGTCTTCCTCTACGGTTTCTGTGTTCCCAAAATCCACAAAGAAGACTTTTGCCTTAGGTTGTGCTTCCATAATTACTCCCCTGTACCACTGACTGTCAGCATACCTTGCTAGGCACAAGCTCCCAGACGTTCTCAAGGTTCCTGTGCTGGTCATTGTTTCACTCAGGTGACTGATGTTATCAGCCAACTGTGCTAAGGTATCTGCACATCTTTCAAGCTGGCAATAAAACGTCCATGGATCCTCAATGTGTGTAATATAAACTTCTTCCTCACTCCCAATTTTGATACCATGATTAGAATAATAGTAAGAATGAAGCTGAACCAAGGATGCCAGATGCTTTTGAGGAAATAAAGGTCTGGCTACACCTCTCTGAGTCAGAAACTGGCAAGCACTCTGAAAAGGTGTTATTAAATCTACGATGTTAAACAGGTCCCTATTTATTGAAGCCAAGGCAAATATTGTACACTTCAGTTCAAGTTCAGATGACGAATTAACAACAAACTGCTGAAAAGTTTTAATCGCTTCTTCTTCCCAAGCAAAAGGATTCTGACCATTGGGTTGGATTAAGTTATAAAGGCTGCACCTGAAAGCCTGAGCCTCCAACCTGAGGAAGCGCTCATCAATTGCACGGAGGTTTGACAGGTACACCTGCTCTCTGTTGCCATAGTCAACATAGACAACTTCTACTTTTTCTGCACGAAGTGCTTCACTAACAATTAAAGCCCTGTACCATTTCTTATCCTCTGAGTACTGGGCTAAACACACAAGATTTGGCCAAACATGTGGCTGGGATGAATTCTTACAGTGCTCCTGAATTTCATCCATTAGTAACTCAAGGTCATGGCTATTTCTACTCAACTGACACCAGAAAACACTAGGATTTTCAACATATGACAAATTAACACTAACAGTACTTCCCACTTCTAAGTGGCCTCCACAAGAATAACCTGGCTTAATTTCCACATAATTCTGTCTCAAAGGCACGTGCAAGTTTCCCTTGCCCTTATATTCCTGAGTAGGAAGAGATTCACTACTTTTAGAACTGTGAATGACTGCAACAGGGCTCTCTCTGACCATCACAGTGATGTCAGGATCAACTGCTCTATCATTGCTCTTTAGAGCAGACTCTTCTCTGAGCCTCTTCTCTGCATTTATTTGTTTTTCCTCTGCACTATTTCCTAGGGAAGAGGCCTGTGTCACAGCCTTTTCATCTGAATTCTGGAGAGTCTTGGATATTTCACACCTCTGGTATTCAGCATAACCTCCCTGGGCCATGAGTTTACTTACTCTTTTCTCTCCTAACTGGGTCTGGTCAAAAATTTCAACCATGTATTTGTCACCCTTCAAACTCAAAAACCAAACCTTCAGTCCCTTGTTCAGCACAATCTCCCTGAACGCAGACACAGATGCTTCACTCCAAGCCCCTCTCAGAGGGGAGACACCTGCCAAACAACACTTCAGAGCTAGAGCAGGGACTTCCCTGAACCGAGGGAGCAGGTCCTTCACTGCACACCGATCCACAGTTTCCGTACTGCCCCTGTCCACCAGGTATATTTCCACCCCACTGTCCAGCACCCTGGTGACCACCGCTCGATAAAAGCCACCCTCGTTCCCACTGGCACAACAAAGGGATCCAGGGTGTGGGTCCCACCCAGCACCATCCAGCTTCGTGGCATGGGAGTAGAAATTCCACATGCACTGCCTCAGCTGCCTGAAAAGCTGGTGGTGCTCATTGAGCTGCAGCCAGAACTCAGATGGATCTCGGAGGTAGGAGACCTGTGCACTGTAGAACACACAGGTCTTCAGCTGTACACCAGGTACACCAGCAGAGCCCAAATCTCTGTGTGTTAAGACAGGAGGTGCATCTGATGGCAATTCCAATTCTCCAGCTGAGGATCCTTCTAATCCCAGCTGCCCACGAGCCTCAGTTTGGCTAACCTGCTTACAACTGCTGACCAGGCAGCAAGCCTGAGACCCAAAAAGATGGTTCAAGTTGACGCCGCTTTCCCCATACAGGGTCACGTAATAGAGATGCTCAAAGGAGTTAAAGGCTTTGATGCGAGCACTCACTCCTCTGCCTTGCACCAGTGCTTTCAGCACATCGATCTGTGACGAGGACCAGCCACAGCCCCCATCAGAAACACCCTGAAGAGCGCACACATAAGTCACCACAGGCATCTGAAAACACTCAGCAGGCAAATGGCGCAGGTTAGCTCTGGTCACAGTCTCCTTCCTGCCATAGTCCACAAAGATCACAAGAGCTGCCTGCTGGTCCTGCTCCCCTGTAATAAGCTCCAGCAGAAGGGCACGGTACCACTGGCCATCCGTGCCACGGGCAGCACAGGGTGAGCCCACCTTGGGCAATAAATCCTGCTCCCACCGGTCATAAACATGGCACATGGTATCAGAAAGGCAACGGATCTCCTGGGACAGGCATTGCAACTGGCAGTAGATGTGATGTGGGTCAGAGACATGGGTCACTAGGACGGGCTCTGTCACACCCAGCTGAAGCTGTGGGTAGAAGTAATCCAAGGCAGGTGACAGGGGCCGATATGACAGCAGCACGTGGAGAAGCTGAGGCACTGCAAAAGCTCCAAGGGAACATGTTGAGGGCTGTTGCTGCCAGAGCTGCTGCTTTAGGTGGCCAAAAGGCAGGCAGCGCCTGAGCACCTGGTAGAACCACACAGGAGAGACCCGCCTGGCCAAGCCCAGCTGCTGCATCTGGGCCACGAGCTGGGGCAGCTCGAGCACGATGAGCTGCGGGGACATCACCTCCTGCACCACACCAGACACCTCCTTGCCGTGCAGGAAGCTGAGGAATTCCATCGCCTCCACTGTCCACTTGGAGACCGGTGAGTCCCCGCAGCCCTTGCCCTCAGGGCCTTGGGAGGGCATGACATTGGCCACGACGCAGCCCAGCACCTCCGGCGGCAGCTGGAACAGCTCCGGGCAGCCCCGCGCCAGGTAACAGGCGGACGTGGCCACCAGGTACCCCTCGTCCAGCAGGAACACGCGGTACCCCTGGGCGCTGCAACTCACCACGCAGCAGCGGTACCAGAGCCCCAGCATCTCTACGAGCCCCAACTCACCAGGGCACAGCCCCACCCCGCCGGCCGCCTGCCCGCCGGGCTCGGAGCGCGCGGCCAGGCGCGGCCCCGCCGCCGCCTGTATCTCGCGGTGGAGGCGGGCGTAGTCGGCCTTGCGCTCGCCCAGCAGCCCCCAGAGCCTCAGAAGGGGCACGTCGGGGCGCAGCCCCACGGCGCGGACGCGCAGGGTGACGGCGTCGCCGCGGCCGAGCGGCCCCAGTCCGGCGTCCATCGCGGGACCGCGGGAGCCCATCGCGCCCTCACCGCCCGCACGAGGCGAACAACCCCCGCTACCCTCCCGCGCCCCGGCCTTATATGGGCCACGCGTCGCTCACGTGACCCGCGGCCAACCGTTTAGCGGCTGTCCGGGCGGTCGAGCCCATTTCGATCCTCGCGGGGGCACTGGGGGGAAGAAGGGGTGGAGGGCGCTAATACACGGGGACCGCTCCTGCTCAACCGCGACTGCCCGGAGGCGCCACAAAGAGGAGGGTTATTACGGGGTTATCGCCCTGGCCCCGCGGGGCGCAGCGCAGAGCCCGCAGGAGGTGCCCTCGGGCGGCGTGGAGCGCTCCACGTCAGCCGGGTGGCAGCGGGGCGGGAGGGGCGGGGTGAGGGGAGAGGGAGCCAAGGGTGCTCAGCTCCCATTGGCCAGAGAGGCGCCGGAGGCGGGACATGCGGCAGGGCTTGGGGACTATTGGCCAGTGCGGGCGGCGGTGTGAGGGTGGGGTGCGGCGCGCGGGCGGGGGGCGCAGTGTGAGAGGGGTTGGCGGTGTGAGCTCGTGGCGTGTCTGTAGTGTTCACACTGAAAAAGAAAGATTTGTTAAGGATTAAAGCAGTTTTTCACTACCAGACTTTCACAAGACTTTTTGTGTGTGTGTGTGTGTGTGGTGTCCCCTGAAGGGATCCGTACTGGGGCCAGTGTTACTGATGTCAGGGGAAGGTTAGGTTGGATATTAGAGAAATGTTCTTCACCCAGAGGGTGGTTGAGTACTGAACAGGCTCCCCAAGACAGTGATCACAGCACCAAGTCTGACAGAGCTCAAAAAGTGTCTGGATGATAACTCTCCGGCATGTGGTGTGACTCTTGGGGATGGTCCTGTGCAGGGCCAAGTCAACATATTCTGTACTTCTGTGAATATCTTCTTTAATTATATAGACGAAGAGGTCAAGTACACCCTCAGCAAGTTTGCAGATGACACTGAGCTGAGTGGTGCTGTTAACACTCCTGAGGGATGGGATGACATCCAGAGGGAGGTGCATCCACAGGAATCCCATAAGATTTAACAAGACCAAATTTAAGGTGCTGCACCAGGGTCAGGGTAGCACCTAGTATGAATCCAGGTGGGGGATGAACAGATCAAGAGCAACCCTGTCGAGAAGGACTTGGGGGTGCTGAAGGATGAAAAGCTGGACATGACCCAGCAATGTGAACTTGCAGCCCAGAAAGCCAGTTGTGTCCAGGGCTGCATCCAAAGCACGTCAAGAGAGGTGATCCTGCCCCACTGCTCTGCTCTGGTGAGACCCCACCTGTAGTGCTGCCTTCAGCTCTGTTGTCCCCAGAACAGGAAGGACCTTGACCTGTTGGAGTGAGTCCAAAGGAGGCCACCAAGTTGATTAGAGGGACGGAGCACCTCTCCTATGAGGAAAGGCTGAGAGAATTGGGCTTGTTCAGAATAGAAAAGAAAAGGCTTCAGGGTAACCTAGTTGTAGCCTACCAGTACCTGAAGGGAACCTACAAGAAAGATGGAGAGGAACTATTTACAAGAGCATGTAGTGACAGGACAAGGGGGAATGGATTCAGAATAAAAGAGGGTAGGTTTATTAGATATTAGGAGGAAGTTCTTTGCTGTGAGGGTGATGAGATACTGAAACAGGTTGCCCAGAGAAGCTGCGGATGCTCAATCTCCCTTGAGGTGTTCAAGGCCAGGTAGGATGTGGCTTTCAGCAACCTGTTCTAGTGGAGGATATCCCTTCTCATGGCAGGGGATTGACACAAGATGAGCTTTGAGGTCTCTTCCAACCCAAACCATTCTGTGATTCCATGATTCTGTGATAAAAATACTTATTCTAACTCAATCAATAGGTACATCTGCATATTCAACAGCAGGGTTATCAGGGTAATGAGATGGCAGGCAGGACCCCTCAGGATGGAACTGAAGCAGCAGCTTTACTGGTTTGTCATTGCTGGTGATGGTGTGCAAGGCAAAAAGAACTTGGATTAGTTTCTCAGAGTGTCAACTAGAAAAATGTCAGTATTTCTGAAGAAAACCTTCTGACTGATGCACGGGAAGATGCACCTAAGTATGAGGAGGAACTTCTTTACGGTGCAGTGACCAAGCACTGGAACAGATTGCCCAGAGAGGGTATGGAGTCTCCCTCACTGGAGATATTCCAGAACCATCTGGACACAATCCTGTACCATGTGCTCTGGATAATCCTGCTTGAGCAGGGATATTGGACCAGATAACCCACTGTGGTCCTTTCCAACCTGACCCATTCTGTGATTCTGCGACTCCCTAATAATGGAGAGATTAATTTTTTCTAACACCCCCAAATGCATAAAGCCACAACAGAGCTACAATAAAAAGTATAAGTGCAAGCCAAAAGACGCCCAGAATTTATTTAATGAGAAATTGGCACATTGAAGTCACTGGTTTCAAAGACTAGAAGAAATCATGAGTATTAACTCAGAGAGCCAAGTCTTGCACAGTCATTCCATTATTAGATATTACTAAATCAAAGCCACCTTTGTTCTATCTACTAACGGTGGCTTTTAATACTGCATTTTTGCCTCTTCATTGCCAAAGATGAACCTTGTGACAAACAGCACTAATCTCCTTCCCTATGAAATCTGGAAGGCTTTAGGTTTCAAAATAAACAAATCACTCCTCCTCAAACATTTTGTGTTTTAAAGACAATGTTGTAGTTCCACCAAGATTTAGAGTGGGCAGAGTGCATATTTCCATGGAAAAGTGGTACCTTAATAACCCAGTCTGCCACATCAGCACCAGGACTGCCATGGGACAAGTAGTTCAGCTTGGAGTATCATGAGTCCTTCAAGAGAGGCAGAGTGAACTAGGCTTTTGATTTCTTGGGAACAGGACTGCATTTCAATCATGGATCTACTCATGGTTGAGTACAGAGGTCAGGCAGTCTCTGGGAAGTAAAAGGAACACAAACCCTTCCGCTTTTTGTGCAAAGCAAATTTGGAATCAGATAAACTGCTTTTATCATTTTCAATACCTAGTACTACAGGCTTGGTTTGCTGAGGCATAACACTAACAAGAAGTAGTTCTTTATGTGTGTGCAAATACAATTAATAACAAAAATGTCCAAATAATTTTATAGATGCTTAGCAACAGAAGATGTTTAGTGCTACCTTTTTGAACCTGCTCTTGTCCTTAACAATAGGAACCGTCTCTATTGTCAAACAAGCAGACATTATTATATTCTATTTACTTGGTAGACTTTTTCTTTTACCCTGTTTACTGTTTCAGTAAGCTCATGCTGGCTGCTAGTTGAAGTATTATTGTGACGATTTTAGTCTGTGCAGATAATATAAATTTCATTTAGCAGTCTGACAACCAAATAGTGTCCTTAAGTCATGGCTGTTTCTAACCAGTAAGGACTGGATTTGGAGAAGCAATGTATACATGGGATCCTACTGCCGTGTGAAATGAGAATTCAGCTTTTTGATTCTTCTCTGTTTTGTCAATACTGAGGATTTTAAAAAGAACTAACTCCACAGATCCTTCTGATTTGTTCATATGTAAGCCAGAATACCAGCGACCAAGGAGCCTGTGAAAGCAAACACAGAAGTTAGAGGCTTAGAACAGAAGTAATCCAATAAGTAAACCCATTAGATTAACTTGTCTCCTCTTAAAAATTATATTCTTAAATTCAATCTCATGTTGTACTGGTTCCCAGAGAGGTTGTGAACTTCTCATCCCTGGAGGTGTTCAAGGCCAGGTTGGATGGGGCCTGAGCAGCGTGGTCTAGTGGAAGGTGTCCCTGCCCAGGGGGTTGGAACCTTATCTTTAAGGTCCCTTCCAACCCAAACCATTGTATGATTCTATGATTTTGTCTTTCATACAAAAATCGTAACATTACATGTGGTTAGGCCTACCAAATCCTTCACAAGACACCTAAACCTCTTTCTTTTTTCAGCTTGCCAACTCATGAATGTTTGACCTGAAATGTTTCATACTTGTGGGCTACTTCGGGCTGAATGCTTTTAAATTTTTTAAAGGGTTTACCTGTTCTGAAACCTTAATCAGAAAATGACAGAGTTTGCTTTGCATAAAATGTATATCCTGCACCCATTTAGTTGAGATGCTCTTGTTTTGGTTTGGTTTTTTTTTTATTTCTTTTTAATTCTTATGGACTTAAAAAAGGTAATCACATGTAAATTTGCTTTTAGGAATTTCCCTTTGCTCAAACTAACAGCAGGGTTCCAGTTCCCAGGCTCCAGTTACTGCTGCCTGGCTTAATTGCAGAGCTGGAACTTTAACAGCCCAGCAGTGTGCAGGAGAAAGGTTGCCAGCCTGAATACAAGAGGGGTGAAAATGAGACCCAGGAGGGAAAAGAAAGTAATTCTGGGATCAAGAGAGAAGGAGGAATGAAAGTATGAGGCATGCAAAGGTTGTCCGGGGCTGGGAGTAAGAAGGGAGCATTGGAGAGTTTGGGGAAGGGAGAAAGGAGGGAGCCTGAAATTGTAAAAAAAAGAAAGGAAACTGGCTAGCAATTAAGCAGGACAATGTTTTCCAAATTAAAGAGGTATAAAATGCAACATGAGAGAAGTGACCCTACATGCAGCTGTGTAATGCACTACATTCAGCTATGCTAACTGCAATTAAAGAAACTGAGAGACTCAAATAGTGTTGAGGAAGAAACTCCTCACATTTTAATGCTAATTGTTCTTGTAAAGAGAGTTAAAAGGCACATACCATTCGCATCCAGGTTGGTATAAAGCCTTTGTACAGAGACATAAACCCTTCACCCTGGACGGTTTGAATCAAGCAGTCCGTGGAAGACTTATATAGCAGACCTCTAGGAACGTGCACGGAAAACAAACAGTGTTAGGATTACAAATGTGTAATTTTAAAAAAATCACATCCTGCTCATAAAAATAATTTGTTGCTGATATTTCTTTACAAGCAAAAGCTCTTTTGTAAGCTCCTTGGAATCTAATCAGAACTAAAATCCACTGGAGTAACTGGCTATGCTTAGGTGGCCATCACAACAACGCCCTTCAGACATTTACTAAATCAGTAAAATCATCATCAGAAAGATGAAGAGCAAATCATAAACTTAGCACTTTGCTTCCAGT